TTCAATGCGTGATTCATATAATTCACCAATACATTTCTTGGTAGTCCAACAAATATTGGTTGTAAATCACAGCTGGCCAGGGCCGGTTTCCCGATAGCGATGGAACTTAAGCTTACGAGTGTTTTAACAATGCATCGTAAAAGTAACGTCCAAAGATGCCATACCCATTTCCTAAAACACCACACACTGCACTCCTTATAAAGTGAGACTTAACTGTGTCATAACAGGAGCTGTCCCGTGCTGAAAATAATTCCAGAATATAGGCTAAAGAGCTCGCTGTAGCTCTTAAATGATTTATGGCTATTCAAAGTCATCTTAATTTTTCTTTTCCCATCAAGAGAAGAAATGTTCTCTAGCCTGTTATGTATTTAAGTGTTTGTATTATGTTTGCCATGTGTTATGTACTCTAAGTGTTTTCTCATGTTATTTTGAATGCAATGTTTGATTATGTACATTCTGCATTTCTTCAGTTTGTGTAAACTGTGAGCAAGAATGAATAAAGCCAAAGTCAAAATTGCTCATTCCCTCATTCGCTATAGAAAATATCAACGTGACCTAAAAGTAGGATATGATGACAATAGTTTCCGTAATTGCTCAACAAATCATTGTAGCCTAATAATCAAGCTATTATATAATTTGGTTATCTCGGTTTTCATTTTTTTAAAATGTATCCTTGCTTCAGACAGGTTTTCTACATGGAAGATACATTGGATATAATATAAGGCAAGTATTGGAAACAATAGAACACTATGGAAAATATGGGAAACCAGGCCTGCTATTCATAGCAGACTTCGAAAAGGCATTTGATAAAGTTCGACTGGGGTTTATATATAAATGCCTGGAGCATTTCAATTTTGGAGAATCTCTTATAAAATGGGTCAAAATCATGTATAGTAACCCTAGGTGTAAAATAGTAAATAATGGCTATTTCTCAGAAAGTTTTAAACTGTCAAGAGGAGTGAAACAAGGTTGTCCACTATCGGCATATCTATTTATTGTGGCCATCGAGATGTTAGCTATTAAAATCAGATCCAATAATAATATCAGAGGATTAGAAATACAGGGCTTAAAAACAAAGGTGTCATTGTACGCTGATGATTCATGTTTTCTTTTAAATCCACAACTAGAATCCCTCCACAGCCTCATAGAGGATCTAGATACATTTTCTAACCTCTCTGGATTACAACCAAATTATGACAAATGTACTATATTACGTATTGGATCACTAAAAAATACAATTTTTACATTACCATGTAGTTTACCAATAAAATGGTCTGATGGTGATGTGGATATACTCGGAATACATATCCCAAAGGAAATAAATGATCTCACTTCAATACATTTTAATAGAAAGTTAGCAAAAATAGATAAGATCTTACTACCATGGAAAGGAAAATACCTGTCAATTTGTGGAAAAATCACCCTGATTAACTCTTTAGTATTATCCCAGTTTACCTATTTGCTTATGGTCTTGCCTACGCCTAGCGAACAGTTTTTTAAATTATATGAGAAAAAAATATTCCATTTTATTTGGAACGGCAAGCCAGACAAAATTAAAAGGGCATATTTATATAATGAATATCAATTCGGAGGACAGAAATTATTAAATATTAAAGCATTAGACCTATCACTAAAAGCTTCAGTCATACATTTACATTACATTTTAGTCATTTAGCAGACGCTCTTATCCAGAGCGACTTACAGGAGCAATTAGGGTTAAGTGCCTTGCTCAAGGGCACATCGACAGATTTTTCACCTAGTCGGCTCGGGGATTAGAACCAGCAACCTTTCGATTACTGGCACTACGCTCTTAACCACTAAGCTACCTGCCACCCCATACAAAAGTTATACTTAAATCCGAACTGGTTCTCAAGCAAATTAGAAAGATTGTCTCACCCAATGTTCAAGAAAGGCCTTTTTCCCTTTATTCAGATTACAACCTCTCACTTTCAGTTATTTGAAAAGGAAATAATCTCCCAAATATCACTATTTCTAAAACAAGCCATAGAAAGTTGGTTGCAATTTCAATTTAATCCTCCAGAAACGACAGAACAAATAATGCAACAAATATTGTGGTTAAATTCAAATATACTAATTGACAAAAAACCTTTATTTTTTGACAGAATGATTAAAAAAGGTATAATCTTCGTAAATGATATCATCGGTAGGACTGGTGGAGTTATGTCGCACATGCAGCTAACAAAAACATATGGAAATGTCTGCTCTACCCAAAATTACAACCAAATAATTGCAGCCTTACCGCAAAAGTGGAAGAGGAAAGTGGAAGGGGGAGAAAGTAAGGAACTTGTCTGTCGGCCTTGCATTAAAGAACATAATTGGTTAAGGAAAACTGTGATAAATAAAAAAGTATATCAGTTTCACTAAAGGACCAAAGGATTGACAGCCGTCCCATATAGATTGCAAAATAGTTGGGAAGAGATCTTTGACGTACCGATCCCATGGCATAGTGTTTATGAACTGACACGCAAAACGACACCGGATTCAAAAATTAGAATCTTTCAATTTAAATTATTATATAAAATTCTTGCTACCAATAGAATGTTATTTATATGGGGGATACAATCTTCCCAGCTCTGCAGATTTTGCTGTGAAGAGACAGAATCATTAGATCATTTGTTTTGGTTCTGTCCATTTGTAGCTTGTTTTTGGACACAGGTCCAGGAATGGCTAAAGGATTGCAATATTTACCTGGAGCTAACCTTGCAGATAGCATTACTGGGTGATCTGAAAAGTCATAGTCAATCAATCAATAATATAATAATACTTTTAGCAAAAATGTTTATTTTTAATTCACAATCTGTAGAAGCAATGAGAATAGAAAGGTTCAGAACTTTTGTAAAACATCACAGTACGGTTGAAATATATATGGCAAATAGAAATCCTATATGGATGGTGTTAAGAGATAGATGGGAGGTATTGAATAGAGTTGAAGGATGGGACTAATAACAAATAACAACAAATAATAACAAAGATAACTAATAATGTAAGCATACTGTGTCCATAATAAGTATATAGGTTGTATGTTGGGAGCTTTTGGGAAAGAGCACAGTTAGAAAGATATGGCATATAGAAGCAAACCGGATGGACATCATGAAAATGATCGGAGAGGTTGAGAGTAGAAGAAGTTCAGGAGCAAAAAATATATATATAATAGAATTATTGTAAAATTAACTCTGTCCATAAGGTGTAGATAGTAAGTATAGACCGGAAGTAGAGGCCTGGGCATTGTTGTTCACTAATTTACTCCAAGTAGGGAAAGGATGGCGGGGTTGAAAAGTAATAAAGGGGAGTTTATATATATATAAAAAAACATGGGGGATTGGAAGTGATGCAGACAATTACATTGATAGAAGATACAATCTATCTGCAATATTAAGCTGATCCATTCCCCCCCCCTAAAAAATAAGAAAAAAAATAAAAATAATCGGTTATCTCGGTTTTCATTTTTTAAAAATGTATCCTTGCTTCGCTTGTTTATAACATTGCAAACTTTTTTGGCTATTTATATACAACTATGACGTTTTCAGCGGTCACAGAGAGACAGATACACATCTTCATTCTAGGTTTAGTGAAGATTTCTTGTGTGTAAAGTGACATGGGAGGGCAAATGGTGATCTAATGACGCACTTAGCTGTTCGATGAGTGGTCTGAGGCAGGTGTTAGATTACGAGTGCAACGTTAATAAAGACGGTTTTGGGAAACGGCTCGGAAATGTAAAGATGCTCTTACAAAGGTTCTAACGATGAACTTAGCTTTAAGATGCTTTTGGGAAACCGGGCCCTGGTACATTGTTTGCTGCCTCCAGCCATTTGGGATGCACGGTTTCAATTTCAATGACTATTTTGGACAAAAACTGACAAATGTAGCAAACTAAAGCTGGGAATTTCAATACAATCAAACTAGCAAGGGCAATGATCACAAGTAAGTCAACGTGGCTGGTTGTGACACAGCCTGGGATCGAACCCAGGTCTGTAGTGATACCTCAAGTACTGTGATGGAGTGCCTTAGACTGCTGCGCCACTCGGGAGGCCTCAATTAAATTTATTTTGGCATCGATCAAATGGGCTGGCAGGCAGGCATGTTCCCATTCAGTTGTCAAAACGTGGGTTGGGACAAGCAAGCATTGGCAGGCAAGCTGAAGAAGAGTGAGCAGGCTACTATTCCCCATCGTTTATCAGTGCAATTTTGACGGCCTACTACAAGCTAAAACAGTTTCAGAGGGTTTATCTACTGTTCCCTCATTAGATTTGAGCTAATCTCACTCTGGCTAACATTAGTTGTTGATATTGTTGTTGTTTATGTAAATAGTCAACTGAGGAAGAGATAGCCTACCTGTTCATGGTTGTTTGATCAATAGGACTGTAAAGTTCCCAAATATAAAAGGACTCCCGTGGGATTTACATATTTGAAGGAATCCATTCAGGTATTTTGTGGCTTTTGGCGAATGCTTTCTAATGATCTAAAGTCGCGCTGTTGCTACTGCCTGTAAACACACAGTCCAGTTCAAAGTGAATGATGGCAGGCCTGTGTGGCAAATGGCTTATTTGCATATAGGCCTACTGTATCGCTGATTGGCTATGGCGCACTGGTCTGTTATTGCGGGTGTAGCGAAATGCTTGTGTTCGTAGTTCCAACAGTGCGGTAGTATCTAACAATTCACAACATTACACACTACCAGCCAGGGATCTACTCAAACTCCTCTAACCCCTGTCAACCAGCCACAACTCCTGAGATTCCTGCTCAACAACTTTTTGGCTGCATCAACGGCTTTCTTTCTCTCTCTCTGTGCATTTTCCTGAGTTGTTAGCAACAGTGACTGGCTTTATTTTAAATCTTAAGGGGGCGGTTTGGCTTACCAGACACAGATTAAGCCTAGTCCTGGAGTGAAAAGCATGCTCAATTAATAATCTTAAATCTCATTGGAGAATCCTAAATCTCAATGGAGAATCTCCTTTTCGGAGAGGCTTACTCTGTGTCCAGGAAACTGGGCCATAATGTTGTTATTGAGCATGCATAATGACAGTACACTGTAAGTATTAATGTCTATGTCTTCTCTTCTTTCCTGGTGTAGCTGGCGTGCTGCTGTGGCTCGGCAGCCTGCTCCTGTTGCTGTGGCTGCTGTCCTAAGATCAAGCAGTCCACATCAACACGCTTCATGTATGTCCTCTACTTCCTCCTGGTCACCATTGTCTGTGTCGTCATGATGTCACCTACTGTGGAGCAGGAGATGAGGGACCATGTGAGTACACACACGTGCACATTTAGACACACATGTACGTGCACACACACACACACACACATACTCACACACTTTCCTCTACATGCATACATGCACACACACACAAGGAACATGCACGCACACATACACACATGCTCACACGCACATAGGGGCCTACATGTCTGGTCTTGTCTCGTATCCTGCCTTGATGTTGGTTAATACATGGAGATCCAGTAGAGCTCTAGAATAGTTTTGGAAGCTCTAAACTCTGCATAAACCCTGTAATAAAGCCTTCCCTGGCACAGCAGAGTGGAGCAGAGCTATGGAAAACACTGCTGGTGTGATTTCCTGTGTGTGTAATTGTATGGTAGTTAGGATGACCTAGTTTAGTGCAGGTTGCCACGGGGGCTAACACAGACATTAACTCCAGGTGGTGAGGGTAGACAACGACACATCCGCCACGCTGACCCTCAACACGGGGGCCACTCAGGGGTGTGTGCTTAGTCCCCTCCTGTACTCCCTTTTCACCCACGACTGCGTGGCCGCGCACAACTCCAACACCATCATTAAGTTTGCCGACGACACAACGGTGGTAAGCCTGATCACCAACAACAACCTCTCCCTCAACGTCAGTAAGACAAAGGAGCTGATCGTGGACTACAGGAAACGAAGGGCCAAGCACACCCCCATCCACATCGACGGGGCTGTAGTGGAGCGGACGAGAGCTTCGAGTTCCGCGGTGTCCACATCACTAAGGATCTATCATGGTCCAAACACACCAACACAGTCGTGAAGAGGGCACGACAACGCCTCTTCCCCCTCAGGAGGCTGAAAAGATTTTGCATGGGCCCTCAGATCCTCAAAAAGTTCTACAGCTGCAGCATCAAGAACATCTTGACTGGCTGCATCACCACTTGGTATGACAACTGCTTGGCATCCGACTGCAAGGCGCTACAGAGGGTAGTGCGTAGGGCTGTTGCGTGACCGTATTACCACCACGCCGGCAGTCATTCTCCTCTTATGCTCTCTGGACGTGTTAGTACTACCCAACTCACTAATGATCATCAGGTTGCTAATGGCCTGGTACTCAGGGCTCTACTGTTCCTTTAACCACTCTGACATCAATGCAAATGCAATCGAAAATCACATCAAACACTTATCTTCAAAACAGTATGTGCTTTTAAAACTCACCTCACTGTGATTGATCAGTTTGAAGAAAGAAGTTCAACAACAGGTTGAAACTGAGTGGAAAACATGGTCCTTGTGGATGTTGTGGACAGTGCTTTCTAAGGTGATGGTTAATTCAGAACACACATATGTATATTAGAGCTTATGCATACGCATAGGTCTACAGTTGAAGTCGGAAGTTTACATACACTTAGGTTGGAGTAATTAAAACTCATTTTTCAACCACTCCACAAATGTCTTGTTAGCAAACTATAGTTTGGCATGACACAAGTAAGTTTTCCAACAATTGGTTTACAGACAGATTATTTCACTTATAATTCACTGTATCACAATTCCAGTGGGTCAGAAGTTTACATACACTAAGTTGACTGTGCCTTTAAACAGCTTGGACATTTCCTGAAAATGATGGCATGGCTTTAGAAGCTTCTGATAGGCTAATTGACATTATTTGAGTCAATTGGAGGTGTACCTGTGGATGTATTTCAAGGCCTACCTTCAAACTCAGTGCCTCTTTGCTTGACATCATGGGAAAATCAAAAGAAATCAGCCAAGACCTCAGAAAAAAAATTGGTTCATCCTTGGGAGCAATTTCCAAACGCCTGAAGGTACCACGTTCATCTGCACAAACAATAGTACGCAAGTATAAACACCATGGGACCACGCAGCCGTCATACCGCTCAGGAAGGAGACGTGTTCTGTCTCCTAGAGATGAACGTACTTTGGTGCGAAAAATGCTAATCAATCCCAGAACAACAGCAAAGACCTTGTGAAGATGCTGGAGGAAACAGGTACAAAAGTATCTATATCCACAGTAAAAACGAGTCCTATATCAACATAACCAAAAAGGCCGCTCAGCAAGGAAGAAGCCACTGCTCAAAACCGCCATACAATAGCCAGACTACGGTTTGCAACTGCACATGGGGACAAAGATCGTACTTTTTGAAGAAATGTCCTCTGGTCTGATTAAACAAAAATAGAACTGCTTGGCCATAATGACTATCGTTATGTTTGGAGGAAAAAGGGGGTTGCTTGCAAGCCGAAGAACACCATCCCAACAGTGAAGCCCGGGGGTGGCAGCATCATGCTGTGGGGGTGCTTTGCTGCAAGAGGGACTGGTGCACTTCACAAAATAGATGGCATCATGAGGAAGGAAAATTATGTGAATATATTGAAGCAACATCTCAAGACATCAGTCAGGAAGTTAAAGCTTGGTCGCAAATGGGTCTTCCAAATTGAGAATGACCCCAAGCATACTTCTAAAGTTGTGGCAAAATGGCTTAAGGACAACAAAGTCAAGGTATTGGAGTGGCCATCACAAAGCCCTGACCTCAATCCTGTAGAACATTTGTGGGCAGAACTGAAAAAGTGTGTGCAAGCAAGGAGGCCTACAAACCTGACTCAGTTACACCAGCTCTGTCAGGAGGAATGGGCCAAAATTCACCCAACTTATTGTGGGAAGCTTGTGGAAGGCTACCCGAAACGTTTGACCCAAGTTAAACAATTTAAAGGCAATGCTACCAAATACTAATTGAGTGTATGTAAACTTCTGACCCACTGGGAATGTGATGAAATAAATAAATAAATAAATCATTCTCTCTAGTATTATTCTGACATTTCACATTCTTAAAATAAAGTGGTGATCCTAACTGACCTAAGACAGGAATTGTGAAAAACTGAGTTTAAATGTATTTGGCTAAGGTGTATGTAAACCTCCGACTTCAACTGTATATATGAACTCAAGCCTGAAAGAAACCCTGAATTAAAATAGTGATTGTGCTGTTATACAATACATAACCTACCGCATATTACACATGGCAGAAAAACATACAAAAAATACAGATTTAATATACATCATTGGTCTAGCTGAAATTTAACAAATCCAGAGTTAGCCTACAATTATAGTGACTTTGAAAGTGGCCTCCATTCGCAATTCGAGTGCATATGGATGACATGTCTTTTTCCTCTTGCCCCTGTTCCTGCCCATTTGATAATGTGCCATTGTAAATTGAAACTAATTTTACATATTAGTAAAGACAATATTACATTGAGAATAGTTTGATGGGTGAAAATATGATCACTTGATAAGAGAACAGCGTGTGCAGCCTGAGGCAGGGAACAGAGTGCAAGCTTCTTTTTGCAACATTCTTAAATCATCAATACCCTATAGTCGCATCATGCAGCCCATATATCTTTTGATTTCTAAGGCATTCTATGGTTTGTATCATTCACATCTAAAGTTGCCAAATAACTCTAAATCTAGCATATACCCCCAAGACATGCTAACCTCTCACCATTACAATAACAGGGGAGTTTAGCATATTTGTGGGGTATGGTATTTGTGCATCTGTAACTTTCTCACTCATCATAATTCACGATTCATTCAGGATTATCTGTAATCATGGTAGCATCCACATTAATGTAGACGTGTTTAGAAACATATTCTATTCTTATTTACAATAAAAGTGACAAAATTACACAATACACAATTACCATTCATTTCTATTGGGCACAAAATAATCTGTAACACAACCAAAACAAACAGCAAGTGTGTCCAACAAGTTGTGGAGTCACAAGCTTGATGTAATCATTGTGTGCTAGGAATACGGGACCAAATACTAAACCTTTGACTAATTTAATACACATATAAGTGAATTTGTCCCAATACCTGTTTTTCTAAATGGTTGACCCGATGTGGATGTAAATGTAAAGCTGATAGTCTGCTCTTTAGCCTCATAGTCATTGTATCATTTCAAATCCAAAATGTTGGTGTACAGAGCCAAAACAACAAAACATCTGTCACTGTCCCAATGCTTTTGTAGCTCACTGTATTTATCAGACTGTTACTATCCTACTGGGCACACACTGGTTGAATCAACGTTGTTTCCATGTCATTTCAATGAAATTACTTTGAACCAACGTGGAATAGACGTTGAATTGGCATCTGTGCCCAGTGGGATGGCACTGACTGTGACTACTCTACCACTGAAAGAGCTGTCAAAGACTCTCCCGCTCTCTCTGTATAGAGCAGACTGACTGCTGTTTAGCTCCATATGAAACAGACATTCTGTAAAAGGACCATCCAGGCGCAAAATGGCTACCGTTAGACACACATGATGAACACTAACACCAGTGCAGTGGACACACACACAGCGCAGTGGGCAGTCTAAAAGCTGAGGGCGTGGTCATTGTGTATGTGTGTGAGAGAGCGTTGGTCTTTTGTCAGTAGATTTACAGCAGTGAGCGTCAGTGCTGTCCTTCTCCTAATCAAACCTCTATGGACATGCTAATCAGCTCCTTCACGCCACACTACAAGACTACAAAAACAGCCTGTTATATTACTGCCAAGCCAACTGCTCTGTATCCTACTACACTACTTATATAGTGGCTGTGGTACTGAACTATGACAGCTCTATCCAGTGACTGGCCGACTATACTACAGCCATGCTGGGGGTGTCAGACTCAACCAATAATCTAGAAAGTGGAACAGTCAGGTGCTCTGATTGACGTAGACCAAAGGACGTTTTAGGTTTTTGTTTGTTTTCGATAGAGCAGTACTTATGTACCAGTATGCTACTACAGGTGAAAGCTGATGCAAGGCTCCAGGGCAGCTTTATAAAGGACATTCCAATACACAGCCAGTCTCTCACTGGTTTAGAACACTTTTATATAGAGGCTCCCTCCGCCCAGCGTTGAAGCAGCTGTTTTTATTTCCTATAGAAATTACTCAAGTGACTCTTGCTCGGTCTTTCTAACTCTCATCCACTTTCTATAGGCATTCTCTCTCCCTCCCTCTCGGTCCCTTTATATAGGCCTACATCTCTTCCCTCATTTTCTCTCCTCTCCTCTCTCTCTCTCTCTCTCTCTCTCTCTCTCTCTCTCTCTCTCTCGCTCTCTTTCTTTCTATACCCCTCTCTTTCTCTCTCTCTCTCTCTCTGTCTCTCTCTCTCTCTCTCTCTCTCTCTCTCTCTCTCTCTCTCTCTCTCTCTCTCTCTCTCTTTCTGTCATTTGTTCTCTCTGCTGAAAGCAGGCTGGTAATTTATTCATCCCTGTCTTTGTTTGTTGTGGCTGACAGCCTCAGTAACAGGCTGGAGAGAAAGAGAAAGATGGTTTGATGGAGAGAATGAAAGAGGGCTTGGTGGAGAGAAAGAGGGTTTCGTGTCGCTGCCTGTTCCTTTTGCAGCTCGTTTAGAAGTGTGACGCTCAGCATGGACCCTATTAACTCTACTCTGACTGAAGACTGTGGGCTCCTCTGTCCTCTGGGGGAACACACACACACACAGACGTGCTGTGATTTGTACAGATCCATTCCTTTTTTAATTTTAATAATGTTTTTTACATACGAACAACAACTTACAGACGCACACAAACAATGACTACATCTCATCTGCTCACACCCCCATTCCTAGTGCCTGCATTATTGTTTGCCACCTGTACCAATTTATTTTTCTGTACAGATCCATTCCGCCATATCAGTGATATTACAGTACCTACAGTGTTAACATTGCTCCTTGTCTCTCTCTGTCTCTCTGTCTCTGTCTCTGTCTCTGTCTCTGTCTCTCTCTCTCTCTCTCTCTCTCTCTCTCTCTCTCTCTCTCTCTCTCTCTCTCTCTCTCTATCTCTCTCTCTCTCTCTCTCTCTCTCTCTCTCTCTTTCTCTCGCTGTATCTCTCTGTCTCTGTGTTTTAGATCCCATTCTACAGTGACCTGTGTGAGAAGCTGAAGGCTGGTGAGAACTGCTCTACCTTGGTAGGTTACTCTGCTGTGTACAAGGTCTGCTTCGGCATGGCCTGCTTCTTCTTCTTCTTCTGTATCTTCACCCTACGAGTCAACTCTGCCACCGGCTGCCGCGCCGCCATACACAACGGGTACGTACACTGTCTACAGTATCGGTGTGTGTGTGTGTGTGAATCTGTTCATTAATCTGTGTGTGTGTATTGATGTTTGTCTCTCTCTCTCTCTGACAGGTTTTGGTTCCTGAAGTTCATTGCGTTGTTGGCCTGCTGTGTTGGAGGATTCTTCCTGCCACAGCAGGACACCTTTCTGGAAGGTATGGACCCTTATGTCCCTGTCCTGTCCCTAGTCTTTATTCTCTCCATACAGAGAGACTGCTCTATCACACTGTGGTGTCTCATATAAGCCCCTCTCCCTCAAATCTCTCTCACCTGTAGAGGTCAGCTTGACTGTCTTTTTAATGCCTTTCCTAAATCAGCTTTGAGAGAAGAGAGGGGAAATAAAGAGAGAGAAAGAGAGGGGAGGGAGTCTGTTATCTGCTCCCTTCAGAGGAGAGGACTGGTGCAGCTGCAGGCTTTAGTTATCATGTGTGTGTGTACAGTGATAATCTAGTCCCTGTGGTTGTCTATGGGATGACGACAAACAAGGGGTTATGCAGAAGCCAAGTGTACACACCCCGCAGAACATATAAGAGATTAGACCTTTGATGGTTAGCTTTGCAATATTTGAAATGTATGATCTCTCCCTTTCTTCCTCCCTCCCTCTGTCTCTCTCTCCCCTCTCTTCCCCTCCCTCTGTCTCTTTCTCGTCTTTTCCGCTCTCCCCTCCTCTCTCTCCCCTCCTCTCCATCTCTCTCTCTCTCTCCCCTCCTCTCCATCTCTCTCCCTCTCTCTCCTCCCCTCAGTGTGGAGGTATGTTGGAGCTGTAGGAGGGTTCATCTTCCTGCTGATCCAGCTCATGCTGCTGGTGGAATTTGCTCACAGATGGAACACTAACTGGTGAGAAACACAACAACAACACCAATACTTCTAATAAAGCCTCTTTGTCCTGCTTACTTTCTTTATGTCTTCAGCCAAAACAGTCACACATAAATACATAATTACATAATTACATAGGATAGACACACATCCTCCAAGCCTAAAGTACTTCAGTATTTATGTTATATGGAAGGGAATAATGTGAAGGGTTGTTGAGAAGGGAGAGAGGAAAGTGGTAGGCACCTAAGGAGGGAGAAACGGAGGACAGCGGGAGGAAAAGAGGATGGATCCCTGTGTGGTGTTGAAGTAGGGAGGACTAGAGAGAGGGAGGAATGAACCTTATGTAGGATTGCTTATTTTGGAGTAGGGAGAGAGGAAGAGTATGAAGGAGAGAGAGAGAGAGAGAGAGAGAGGAGGAGAGGATGCCAGGATGGACCCCTGTGTAATGTTATTTATACAGGTGAGAGAGAGAGAGAGAGAGAGAGAGAGAGAGAGAGAAACAGAGGGCAAGAGAGAGAGAGAGAAAAACAGGGGAAGAGAGAGAAACAGAGGGAGAGAGAGAGAGAAACAGGGAGATAGAGAGAGAAACCGAGGGAGATAAAGAGAGAGAAACAGGGAGATAGAGAAAGAGAAACAGAGGGAGATAGAGAGAAACAGAGAGAGATAGAGAGAAACAGAGGGAGATAGAGAGAAACAGAGAGAGAGAGCTATTGTGTCTTGTTGTATAAAGTACAAGGTAAGGGTTTGTCAGTGTCTATGTTGCAGACAGGATGCACATGACAACAGAGTGTATACCCACAGTTTCCTCTCCCTCTCTGACACACACGCTCACAATAGAAATTAGAGCAGCAGGGGATCATTTTAGAGTCTGTTTGTCCATTTTCACTGACTGGGTATATAAGGCAAGAGGTCACTGCAATTACCCTGGAGCTGTGTGTCTGGGTGTGTATGTGTATTTGTGTCACGGTTCAGACAGACGACCAGAGGACCACAATTGCGTCACACCAGAAAGTTTATTAAAACTTAAGGGAAAAGGGAAGTAGGGAGTGAATGAAGGCTCCAGGGGTAACAGGGATCCCGTCCAATGTGCTGGGTCTGTGCCCCCCCCAGTGGCAGCGATGCGTCCTATGAAGCCGGTGGTGGGTGGTCCAGAAGTCCTGGGGGGGGGAGACACAGACACAACAGGGCGGAATGAAACAAGGCAGCAGTACAGTTCAAGGGAAATCCAAAATACGTAGTAGCAAGGCAGAAGGCTGGTCAGAGTTACCGGGATTGAAGAGTAGTCAGGAGTCGTTATGGCAGAAGCAGGTCTGGATCTCCTGGGGCAGAAGAGTATCCAAAAATCAGGCAGGTCCGGGGTCACAAAACCAGGGTGAGCCAGAAGCGCGAGCAAACAGGTTCCGGGTGTGAGCTTTGCAGACGATCTGACACCGGAGAGCTGAAAGACAGGGCCTTAAATACTGGGAGAGGTAGTGGGTAATGCAGCGCAGCTGGCAGAGTAATTAGAGCAGAGCAGAGCAGGGACAGGTGGAGCTAGTTAGGCTGAGTAGAGAGAGTGGTGAGCAGAGTGGAAGAAAATTAAGGTGGTAACCCGGTGGAGTGAGAGGCTCATGACATATTTGTATATGTGTGTTTGTGTCTGTGTATCTTAGTGATAGTTAGTGCTTTTTTAGGTCAGTTTGGTTTCGGTTAAATTATAAAAAAATTGTTACGGTTTTTGATTTCGGTTTCAATTATTTCGGTTGAATGCTGTAACAACACAGAATAAAACAATGAATAAAAGTCCCATGATGTTAGTGACTGCTCGTCATTGCTTATCACTTATTAACCACCATTTATTCACATTTGTTTTATTTGATGATTTTATTATTTCATTCCAAGCCATCATCTCATCTCTATATGCTGTCTGACAAAATCACTATTTTGTAGATCTTCAAATTAAATAAGGCATACCTTTATGACTGCTGAATACCAACTATCAATCACTTAGATCATGTATTTTCGGATAGAGATACTCTACATGACCAAACGTATGTGGACACCTGCTCGTCGAACATCTCATTCCAAAATCATGGGCATTAATATGGAGTTGGTCCCCCCTTTGCTGCTATAACAGCCTCCACTCTTCTCGGAAGGCTTTCCACTAGATGTTGGAACATTGCTGCGGGGACTTGCTTCCATTCAGTCACAAGAGCATTAGTGACGTCGGGCACTGATGTTGGGCGATTAGGCTTGGCTTGCAGTCGGCGTTCCAATTAATCCCAAAGGTCTTCGATGGGGTTGAGGTCAGGGCTCTGTGCAGGCCAGTCAAGTTCTTACACACCGATCTCGACAATCCATTTCTGTATGGACCTCGCTTTGTGCACAGGGGCATTGTCATGTTGAAACAGGAAAGGACCTTCCCCAAACTGTTGCCACAAAGTTGGAAGCACAGAATCGTCTAGAATGTCATTGTATGCTTTAGCATTAAGATTTCCCTTCACTGGAACTAAGGGTCCTAGCCCAAACCATGAAAAACAGTCACATACCATTATTCCTCCTTCAGCAAACTTTACAGTTGGCACTTTGCATTCGGGCAGGTAGCGTTCTCCTTGTATCCGCCAAACCCAGATTAGTCCGTCGGACTGCCAGATGGTGAAGCGTGATTCATCACTCCAGAGACCACATTTTCACTGCTCCAGAGTCCAATGGCGGTGAGCTTTACACCATTCCAGCCGACGCTTGGCATTGCACATGGTGATCTTAGGCTTGTGTGCGGCTGCTCGGCCATGGAAATCCATTTCATGAAGCTCCCAACGAACAGTTCTGGTGCTGACATTGCTTCCAGATGCAGTTTGGAACTCGGTAGTGAGTGTTGCAACCAAGGACAGACGATTTTTACGCGCTTCAGCACTCGGCGGTGTGTCCTACCACTTCACGGCTGAGCCGTTGTTCTCCTAGACGTTTCCACTTCACAATAACAGCACTTACAGTTGACCGATGCAGCTCTAGCAGGGCAGAAATTTGACGAACTGACTTGTTGGAAAGGTGGCATCCAATGACGGTGCCACGTTGAAAGTCACTGAGCTCTTCAGTAAGGCCATTCTACTGCCAATGTTTGTCTATGGAGATTGCATGGCTGTGTGCTCGATTTTGTACGCCTGTCAGCAACAGGTGTGGCTGAAATAGCCGAATCCACTAATTTGAAGGGGTGTCCACATACTTTTGTATATATAGTGTAACTCGCGAAGCAATGGCTGCTCTCTATATCCCCTCATGATCGCGCATTCTTCTGCCTCTTCCGTAGCAGGCATAAAAGAAACACAGACTGGGAAAGTAGATGCGCAATGGATTATGGTCATTGTAGTTAATTACCACGTTTTATGCGCTGAACTATGTAGAATATTGGCCTGTTGGAAACTACAACTCCCTACTACATCGCACAGTTCAGGCTGGCTCTGATTTATCTCTAGAGAAACTGTGAAATGTGCGCATTGAGCTCACAGAAAAGAACCTGAAGAAAATGGAATTCAAATAATTGAACGGACGTCGGTCAAATAACCTAAATTTAGGTTAATGGCTCAGCACTAGTGCATCTGTGTATTTGTATGTTTGTGTTTGTTTCTGTGTGTCGATGGGGTTGGGGAGCTCTGGTTGACTTGCCTGAGTAAAAGTACTCTGGATGTGGAAGATCTGCCAACAACCCTAAACCTGTCTCCTTGTGATGAGTGTGATAAAAGGAGTCAGGCGCAGGAGGGTAATCACCGAAATCAGAGTTTATTCCGTCGTACACAAATAGCACTGGATAGTGACACACAGGGGAAACTATCTACCCTGGCAATACACGGTACGGGATACTCCAATAATATACAGGCACAGGGGATCAGACGATCACGGAAAAGAGCAGGCACGTACCGCAGCCCAGCTGGACACTGAGGTGGAGATGGATCTGTGCGTAATGCCTGCTCTATATCCGTGTCCATCGCCCATACTACCACAATGCAGGAGGCCGGGAGTATGGGGGTGTTGTCTCTGGGCCTCTCCTCTGTGTTATACAGCCGGGACAGTGCTTCTGCCTTCACGTTCTTCGTACCCGGAATGTATGACAGTGTAAAATCAAACCGGGTGAAGAATAGGGCCCACCTGGCCTGGCGAGGATTCAGCCTCCTCGCTGCCCGGATGTACTCCAGGTTACGGTGGTCCGTCCAGACGAGGAAAGGGTGTTTCGCCCCTTCGAGCCAATGCCTCCACACAGTCAAAGCTCGGACAACAGCCAACAGCTCCCGATCACCAACATCGTAGTTCTGCTCCGCCGGGCTGAGCTTCTTAGAGAAGAAGGCACAGGGGCGGAGCTTGGGTGGCGTGCCCGAGCGTTGGGATAGGACAGCGCCTATCCCTACCTCGGACGCATACACCTCCACTACGAACGGTAGTGATAGATCGGGGTGGGCCAGTACCGGGGCTGAGGTGAACAGACCCCGCAGTCTCCTGAAGGCCAGGTCAGCCTCAGCAGACCAGCGGAGCCGGGAACGCCCACCCTTCAACAGGGAGGTAATGGGAGCTGTGACCTTGCCAAAGCCCCGGATAAACCTCAGATAGTAGTTGGCAAAGCCAAGGAAGCGCTGCACCTCCTTAACCGAGGTTGGAGTCGGCCAATTACGCACGGCTGAAATGAAATCTCCCTCCATCTCCACACCTGCCAGGGTAGATAGTTTCCCCTGTGTGTATCCGAGGAAGGAGACGGACTGCTGGAAAAATATACACTTCTCTGCCATGGCATAAAGGTCATTTTCCAACAGTCGGGCCAGCACTTTGCGAACCAGGGACACATGCTCGGCGCACGTAGCGGAATACACCAGGATGTCATCGACGTAGACCACAACACCGCGACCAAGCATGGCCCGAATCACCTCGTTCACAAAGGACTGAAAGACGGATGGAGCATTCATCAAACCGTAGGGCATCAACAGGTATTCATAATGCCCCGTGGTTGTGCTGAATGCTGTCTTCCACTCATCCCCCTCCCGAACACGCACCAGGTTGTATGCACTCCTGAGATCTGATTTGGTGAAGAAGCGCGCCCCATGCATTGACTCAATCACTGAAGGAATGAGGGGGAGAGGATAACTAAATCTTATAGTCTCCTTGTTCAGTGATCGATAATCAATGCACGGGCGCAGACCGCCGTCTTTCTTCTTCACAAAGAAGAAACTCGAGGAGGCGGGTGAAGTGGAGGGACATATATACCCCTGGCCCAAGGACTCAGTGACGTATGTTTCCATAGCCTCCGTTTCAGCCTGCGACATGGGGTACACATGACTCCTGGGAGGTACAGCATCTACCCGAAGGTTTATCGCGCAATCCCCTGCCCGATGAGTTGGTAATTTTGTTGCCATGTGTCTTAGAAAAAGCGTGTGCCAGATCATGGTATTCAGGGGTAATGCGCACGTTGGAGGTACTGTCTGGACTTTCCACCATGGTTGCACCAACGGAAACACCTAGACACCTACCCTGACACTCTCGCGACCACCCCGTGAAAACACTCTGCGGCCATGAGAAGGTGGGGTTGTGGAGTGCTAGCCAAGGGATAACTAATACCACAGGGAAATCAGGAGACTCAATAATCGAAAAAGTAACCTGCTCACAATGAGTCTCCTGGGTGATCATGGTGACTGGTACAGTGACTTCCTTTTCAAACCCGGACCTTAATGGTCGACTATCAAGTGCTCTGATGGGGAGTGGAATGGATAGGGGAACCAATGAAATGCCTTGACGGCGTCAGAATTCTCTGTCCATAAAGTTCCCAGCTGCGCCTGAATCGACTAGTGCCTTACACTGGGGAACTACCATGTGATCGGGAAAATGGATATGTAGGGTACAGTGCGCAGCAGAGCGCTTTGAACATGTGGGTGTTCGATACCTGGGGTGATGCGAGAGTGCACTGCCTGCCGCCTCCAGGCCCAAAAGAGCGTTGACTATGACGTGTGGTGTACTGTCCCTTCGTGCCACCAGAGTGGCACTGTCACTGTCGTCCTCCGCTTTCTCGGACGGCGGCTCCACCCAGCTCTATCAGCTCGGGATCCGAGTCGTCCGGGGTGGAAACGGGCAGACCCCTACAACCGCCTATCCCTACCTCTGGCTGCCAGCAGGTTGTCCAACCGGATGGCCATGTCCACCAGTTTCATGAAAGACAACATGGCAGGCTAGCTCCCGTCGGATGTCCTCCCGCAGATGGCACCGGAAATGGTCGATCAGGGCCCGCTCGTTCCACCCGGACCCCGCTGCCAGAGTCCGAAACTCCAACGCGAAGTCCTGCGCGGTCCTCGTCCCCTGCCTCAGGTGGACCAGCCGCTCACCCGCCTCTCGACCCTTCGATCACCCGCCCGAAAGAGGCGAGCGAACTCCCCGTAGTCCTCCAACGTGGCTCCTCCTTTGTTCCAAACCGCGTTGGCCCACTCCAGGGCTTTCCCCGAGAGGCAGGAAACGAGGACGGACACCTTCTGCCGCTCCGATGGCGCCGGCCTGATGCTGGAGAAGTAAAGCTCCAGTTGGAGGAGGAATCCTTGGCAGAGCGCCGCCGTCCCGTCAAACGCCCGTGGTTGGGATATCTGGATCCCTCCGGGTGCTGGGGTGTAGGTGGCTGGATCCGGTTGGCCAGCTGGTCTCGCTTCCCCCAAGCTGGCCAGCATCGTGGAATGCTCCTGGACCCGTGCCATGACTCCAGGCATGCGCTCTTCTCCCGCTGACTCCATAGCGGGTGGGTGATTCTGTGATGAGTGTGATAGAAGGAGTCAGGCGCAGGAGGGTAATCACCGAAATCAGAGTTTATTACGTCGTACACAAATAGCGCTGGATAGCGACACACGGAAACATGCACAGGGGAAACTATCTACCTTGGCAATACACAGTACAAGATACTCCAATAATATACAGGCACAGGGGACCTATCTACCCTGGCAATACAAAGTGCGAGTAGCTCCACCGAGCTACACTACTCTCACAAATAACAATCACCCACAAGGACAAGGGGGGCAGAGGGAACACTTATACACGGACTAATGAGGGGATAAGAACCAGGTGTGTGTAATTAACAAGACAAGACAAATGGAATGATGATATATGGAGCGGTAGTGGCTAGTAAGCCGGTGACGACGAACACCGAAACCTGCCCGAGCAAGGAGGGGAGGCAGCCTCGGCGGAAGTCGTGACACTCCTTGTATCCTCAGGAATAAAATATAACTATATCCCCCTCTTTCTTCCTCCCATTCTTCCCTCCATCTCTCTCTTCCTCCTATCTTTCCCTCCATCTCTCTCTTCCTCCTATCTTTCCCTCCATCTCTCTCTTCCTCCTATCTTTCCCTCCATCTCTCTCTTCCTCCCATCTTTCCCCCATCTCTCTCTTCCTCCTATCCTTCCCCCCTCAATAGGAGTTCAGGTGTGAACAACAACCGTCTGTGGTATGGAGCGCTGGCCATGGTCACCTTGGTGCTGTTCAGTGTGGCAGTAGGAGCTGTGGTGTTCATGGCTCTGTTCTACACACACTCTCAGGCCTGTCTGCTCAACAAGGTGTTCCTGGGGGTCAACGGCAGCCTCTGTCTCATAGTCACCCTGCTGGCTATATCGCCCTTCATACAGAGAAGTTAGTATAGGCTATACACACACTGGAACACACACTGGAACACACACACACACACACAAACATACACACACACTTTAACACTCCATCTGTTCTTCTTCCAGTCCAGCCTAAGTCAGGCCTGCTCCAGCCAGGAGTGATCAGTGTGTACGTCATGTACCTCACCTTCTCAGCCTTCTCCAGCAAGCCCAAAGAGAGTAAGTAGACTGGAGGCTCAGCCCATAGAGATCCAGTGTTTCATTGCCTATCTGGTTGACCTATTAACAGGTTTTATGTGTTTGCATTTTGTTAAATTGCACTTAAAATTCTAAAGGCACTCGCACATCTGAGCTATCTTTCTTGCAGGTGCATGGTAACAATTGAATAACATGAAAGAAAAGAGAAACCCGCACACTGCTCTTGCTAGTATCACTGTTCTTTATTAAGCTTACGTATCGGCCTCAAGGCCTTCGTCAGAGCTTTTTGTTAAATTGCACTTAAAATGCCTCCATGAAAACTGTATTCTGGCCGATGTGCCATTGCAGCTCTCCAGTACAAACAGACGTAAATATTATCCTCCTCTTATTCCTGTTCTCTCTCTCTCTCTCCTCTCTCTCTCTCTCTCTCTCTCTCTCTCTCTCTCTCTCTCTCTCTCTCTCTCTCTCTCTCTCTCTCTCTCTCTCTCTCTCTCTCTCTCTGTTTCTGTGTAGTGTTGGAGGTTAATGGGGTGAATACGACAGTGTGTGTGTTCCCCTTCAACTCTGGATCAGAGAGCGACAAGAGGATTGTATCAATAGTGGGAACTGTCATCATGTTCGGCTGTGTGCTCTACTCCTGGTAAGACACAGACATTTATGTTATGGCCTGGGCCTGGCACTGAGAGACACACACAGTTATATGTTATGGCCTGGGCCTGGCACTGAGAGAACGAACAGATAAGGATGCTCAACCTCTGTGACGCCTGATCCCAGGTTGAGGGATATAATGAGGCTTAGACCTTGAGTCTTTGGAGAACGTTTCTGTCTACCCCTGTGTGCACACTGTCTGTAATAAACCTTCAAAATACCGTCACGGTTCGCCTTATCCTTTGAATTCAGCATTTTCAAATTAAACTACCTCAAATTCCCAACAACACACACACACACACACACACACGTGTTGCTTTCACCTATCCTCGGTTTATAGATCAGTGCAGAGAGGAGCGGGGGCTGTGTTCTTTAGACTCTTAAGATGCTCCCAGTGTAGAGATATGTAGCTGCAGTGAAGTAATGTGTTATTGGCTTGAGCAGATGTGAGAGTGTTTTTGATTGGCTGGAGCTGTTGAGAGGGTGTGTGTGATTGGCTGGAGCTGTAGTGCGTGTGTCCACATGTGTTTCACATTAAGCTCAGACATATCTCCTGTGGTCGTCTCTGTAAAAGACTTGAGCTATTCTCAACCACAAATTACTGGAAAAATGTATTCTGACATCCCTGTGTGTGTGTTTCAAGTTTCAAGTTTTATTAGTCATATATACGGGATACACATGGTATACACCGTCCAACGAAATGCTTACTTGTGTTTGTGTGTGTAGTTTGACGTCCACCACCAGACGAAGCTCTGCAGCACTGCGCGTTTGTAGGAACAGCATGCCTGAGACTGAGGTAAGAAGACCTACACACACACTCGCACACACACACACACAAACACACACATCAGCTTAGTGTGTGTGCACGTGTATGTTTAGTGAAAGGGTGATGTATAGTTGATTGGTTGGTATATTCCTGTTGTAGTAACTCACCTCTCTCCTGCAGAGAGCTCGCTGCTGTTTCTGCTTTGGAGATGACAAGGTAAGACAAAATTTCTCTCCCTCTCCCCTTTTCCTCGGGCGACCTGCCACATCAGCCATTCCGCCCTCGTGCCAAGATCTCTCTCCTCCTCTGCGCACTCCTCTTTCCCTTCGCTCCCTCCCTCTCTACCTACTCTCTTCTCCTCTCTCTCTCTTCCCTCTCTCCCTCCCTCTTTCCCTATCTCCCACTGTTCTCTTTCTATCATCTCCCAGAGTATACTGCTGTACTACTGCAACACCAGCAGAAAGAGGCAGTGTTCTTGTACGTTCTCGCATACACATAGTAACAGTAAATATGTTGGAACACCATTGGTCAGGAAACAGAGATGATGTCACTGTTACCAGGAGGTGACTATGACTATGGTTGTGTGGAGATAGACCAGTCAGATGGTAGCAGTAGAACTGAGAGAAGGCTGGAGCTGCCCTCTGGTGGGAGAAAGCAGCACTGCAGCCAGGGAAAGAACAGCACATCATTTTATTTATGAATTTATTACACAGAGAAAACTTATTTTAAAATAGCAGGTGTACAGTTTAGAACAATACAATGGATTAAAAAAACGTGAGCCCTTCTCAGGAAACCTACACATTTTTAGGGAGTTTCCTGTCCGGCAAAGGGGAGGGAGAGACATATAGAGAGAGTAGAGACCAGGAAAATGAAAAGAAAACAGGAATATAATATGGTGAGAGTGTTATTGGGTAGAACATGTTCTGTCCATCATACATGTTGTGTTATGTATATAATGTTGCTGCGATGATGTTGTGGTTGTGTTGTGACTATGATATAAGGTTGTAATAACGTTGCTGTGATGTTGTGGTTGTGTTGTCCAGATGACTATGATGAGGAGAAGACTGCAGGAGGCCAAAACGTTCTGTATGATGAGAGAGAGAAAACCATCTACAGCTACGCCTACTTCCACTTTGTCTTCTTCCTGGGTTCACTGTATGTCATGATGACCGTCACCAACTGGTTCCAGTAAGTAGCAGAGTTCCTGGGGAAACTTTAATTAGGTTTCAGATAGTAGCAGAGTTAGTTACTGGGGAAACTTTAACTAGGTTCCAGTTAGTAGGAGAGTTCCTGGGGAAATTTTAACTAGGTTCAGTTAGTAGGAGAGATACTGGGGAAAATTTAACTAGGTTCCAGTAAGTAGCAGAGTTACTAGGGAAACTTTAACTAGCTTGTGTCTCTGTAGTTATTTAATTCATTTCAATTCAGCATAACACTAAGAGTGTGATATGTTTGTTTTCTTGTAGCTATGAAAACCATAAGATAGATAAGCTGCTGGATGGCAACTGGTCAGTGTTCTGGATCAAGATGGCGTCCTGCTGGGTCTGTCTCATCCTCTACATGTGGACCCTGGTCGCGCCCATGGTCTGCCCCAAACGCTTCGAGGCCTAACACACTGAAACACAGCGAAAGACCTTCAGCTTTCTACATGGGTTTTTTGTGTTGCTTTTAGTGTTTTTTATTTCCTTATTTTTTCTTTTTTTTAACCAGTTATACATAGTTGATATGGTTAAGCTATTGTTGCCTTGTTACATGGAGTTTTTTGTTACATGCAGGGTTGGAATCACAAACTGACTCTTCGGGGTGCCTAAAACAATGGGCTGGACCAATGCTTATACAGTCATTTATGTGGCTTCACATGGTCATAGTGGTGCCCTGATTCTGTTATGGGAGTGCCTGCCCAGCATCCCTCAGCACCAATGTCATTTGAACCCTGTTTACATGTTTGCTTACATTTGTGATTTTTACGCGTGCGACGCATCTCTGTTTTCCCATGATGGACCCAGACCTCCATATTGTTCTGTTATTCCCATGAAGAGAAGTTCCATTTCTCAGGCTCACATATCAGCTGGAAGTGTCTTGCTTGCTTGTTATTGCGCCCTTTTGTAGAAGAGGTTTTCTATGCAATTAATCAAAATGTTTTGATTTGATTTGCCTGTCTTTAGGTCACATGGTCATGTGAAACATTTTAATTAGGAGTAGATAGGATGGATTATGTCAGCACTCCTTTAGAGACACAACATTTGTACACACTTTTCTTGTGGTGTTGTGTTTTCCAAATAAGCCTGTCTGACTAGCAGAGTGCTGCCTGGTAGAGGACTGTGGGACCAGAGTCACTACTAATGACGGGAAGGAGGCGGAGAGGCAATCATGGAGGGAAGATCAACAGTTTGATTTCAAACATTTGCCAAAGGTAGATCTCAGAAACAAAGAATGGACATGCTAAAGTTCTTCACAAGAGTAACCTCTAGAACTACCACAAACCTCTGATCCTAAACCAACCCCTTGCCCCTAGCAACTTGCTTGGTGTGCTCTCTGATGAAGGGTCACTTTCAGAGACCCTTTCAGGACTGTGAAAACAAGGGGATAGGGTTCAAAATGGACCGGGAACTTAGTGTGTAGTATAGGTTACTTAACACTCGTTGTTGATGTTACTGACTGAACAAACCCAGATCAAGACATGACTGACAGAGAGCAAAAAAACATTATCCAGAAATCCACATTATTCTGTTGTCATACTTACAACCCTACAGTATATAACCCTTTTGATACTAATATTATATGTGTACACTTCGGTTTAATATAATGATATTTGATATTTGTTGAAGAAAAACAACTGGAAAATTGTAATATTTAAGATTGAGTCTTTCTCCTTCAATTGCTGAATAGAATAATCACATAACCCTATGAGCCAGCAGTTTGATGAGTTTGTTCATGCATATTTATACCATAATAAAGTACCCACTGTGACTTTAATTTCTTCACCTCAGCCATTGTTGTGAAGGGGTTAAACCCATCTGGAAGGGTAGGATGTGAACAATAGGGTTGGGATCAATCCATTATCCATTCAGTAATGTCATGGAGTGAATCGGAAATTCAATTAAACAATTAAAAGCTGTCATATATTTCAAAAATAGATTTGTGAAATAGAATTTCACTTGAATTGACTGTATGATGCTGAATTGACTGGAACGCCTGGTGTAAAACATGTGTTGACTAATCAGTTACTGTAAATGTTTGCTATTAGCAGATTGTGTCCACATGTCATTTCAGACAAGTTGTTGTTTGTCCTGGTTCCTGTGAATGAGCCAGGTACAGCTCTACACAATCAGGTCAAGCTCATGTTAAACCGTTAGGGATCAAAACCATCTGATTAGGCTGTATGCTGCCATACCTGATCTGTTGATGTCCCTTTCTGTTCTCCACTGTTAAGATGACCACTAGGTGTGTACACAGGAGTGTGAGTGTTTGTTTCATATATTTGCACAGGAGCACTTGCGTTAGTGAGTTTTGGTCTGTGCAGAACATTTTGTGTGTGTATGTGTGCGTGCATGTGTCTCCAAACACACTCTGCTCACACTAAGGGCTCTATTCAATCCATATCGCGGAAGTTCAGTGTTACAGCGTGATTTAAATTAAAAAGCAGTGTTCCCACGTTAACGGAGACTGCATTCACAGTAAACGCTGCATATTTCAGCCCAATGGGAAATTACCTTTACATTTCTATCGCGCAGTCTGTAACACTTCAGTGATACAGATTGAATACAGCCCTAATTCTCTGTACACAGTTAGATTTAGTCCTAAACAAAAAATTAAACATGAACAGCCTGTGATTTCATTGTGTCTGTGTGTTTGTGTAAAGCTGAGCACTTATAGCCTCAGCTTGAAATACAGTGCCTTGGGGAAGAAATCACACTGCATTCTACTCAACAACTAGCAATCTGTTCCATTTAGTTACACACCAAACAAAAGACCCAGAGAGGGTGTTTTACCAAATGCTCAGTATGTTTATTCATAGATTAACTAAACAAAAAAAAGTATATATACACTGCTCAAAGAAATAAAGGGAACACTTAAACAACACAATGTAACTCCAAGTCAATCACACTTCTGTGAAATCAAACTGTCCACTTAGGAAGCAACACTGATTGACAATAAATTTCACATGCTGTTGTGCAAATGGAATAGACAACAGGTGGAAATTATAGGCAATTAGCAAGACACCCCCAATAAAGGACTGGTTTTGCAGGTGGTGACCACAGACCACTTCTCAGTTCCTATGCTTCCTGGCTGATGTTTTGGTCACTTTTGAATGCTGGCGGTGCTTTCACTCTAGTGGTAGCATGAGACGGAGTCTACAACCCACACAAGTGGCTCAGGTAGTGCAGCTCATCCAGGATGGCACATCAATGTGAGCTGTGGCAAGAAGGTTTGCTGTGTCTGTCAGCATAGTGTCCAGAGCATGGAGGCGCTACCAGGAGACAGGCCAGTACATCAGGAGACGTGGAGGAGGCCATAGGAGGGCAACAACCCAGCAGCAGGACTGGTACCTCCGCCTTTGTGCAAGGAGGAGCAGGAGGAGCACTGCCAGAGCCCTGCAAAATGACCTCCAGCAGGCCACAAATGTGCATGTGTCTGCTCAAACGGTCAGAAACAGACTCCATGAGGGTGGTATGAGGGCCCGACGTCCACAGGTGGGGGTTGTGCTTACAGCCCAACACCGTGCAGGACGTTTGGCATTTGCCAGAGAACACCAAGATTGGCAAATTCGCCACTGGCGCCCTGTGCTCTTTACAGATGAAAGCAGGTTCACACTGAGCACATGTGACAGAGTCTGGAGACGCCGTGGAGAATGTTCTGCTGCCTACAACATCCTCCAGCATGACCGGTTTGGCGGTGGGTCAGTCATGGTGTGGGGTGGCATTTCTTTGGGGGGCCTCCATGTGCTCGCCAGAGGTAGCCTGACTGCCATTAGGTACCGAGATGAGATCCTCAGACCCCTTGTGAGACCATATGCTGGTGCGGTTGTCCCTGGGTTCCTCCTAATGCAAGACAATGCTAGACCGCATGTGGCTGGAGTGTGTCAGCAGTTCCTGCAAGAGGAAGGCATTGATGCTATGGACTGGCCCGCCCGTTCCCCAGACCTGAATCCAATTGAGCACATCTGGGACATCATGTCTCGCTCCATCCACCAACGCCACATTGCACCACAGACTGTACAGGAGTTGGCGGATGCTTTAGTCCAGGTCTGGGAGGAGATCCCTCAGGAGACCATCCGCCACCTCATCAGGAGCATGCCCAGGCGTTGTAGGGAGGTCATACAGGCACGTGGAGGCCACACACACTACTGAGCCTCATTTTGACTTGTTTTAAGGACATTACATCAAAGTTGGATCAGCCTGTAGTGTGATTTTCCACTTTAATTTTGAGGGTGACTCCAAATCCAGACCTCCATGGGTTGATACATTTGATTTCCATTGATAATTTTTGTGTGATTTTGTTGTCAGCACATTCAACTATGTAAAGAAAAAAGTATTTAATAAGATTATTTCATTCATTCAGATCTAGGATGTGTTATTTTAGTGTTCCCTTTATTTTTTTGAGCAGGTTATATAACACATGTATGGAATGTAGCGTTTGATGGACATTGGTTGTCCAGGTGTGTTTTAATGTAAGGCCAGTCAAAACAACAATCTATTCCCCTTGTCTCTGTCTGTTTCCTCCAATGGTAGAGAATGAGACCCTAACTACAGTTTTAACCCCTAGATACACCAACCCTCTCCCCAGATAACAGACACATACAGGTTTACAACAACACTACAATCATCATCAATCTTCTAGTTGAACCTATTCTAATAGTACTGTACAGTATGTTCAGACTGCAGAGCACGTCAACACAGCAATAACAAGTAATGTATGGAAGTCTGCTGCCCTGATGAGTAGACCTCAGTCCTCACCCCAGGCGCACGTCTAGCAGTAATGACAATGCTTTTATATTTGGTTGTGAAAATCCTCCCCTTCACTCCTCTAATAATGCCCAGTGAAATGCACCATGCTGTTTGTTCTCTCATCTCCTCTCTCCATATCTTTCTCTCCTCTCTTCTCTGTCCCATTCTCCTATTTTTTTCCTCTCAACCACCCTCTCCCCAATCTTCTCCTCCCCTCCCGGGTGGGTTTATTCAGTGTTCTGTGCACTGTACTCCTGGTAGTCTTCAGGGATGGTGTCTGTAGAAGGACAAACAGAACAGAGAGGTGTTGACTTAAACATACTGTAGCAGTGACAATCTTAGACAGCTTCTGTCCTATCAGCGTGCTGTGACCAGGGCTATTCTCTGTATCTGTCTGCTGGTTGGCTGAGTAGGCTGTCACGCACCGTTGCAGCGGTACTTGAGGTTGGACCAGATGATGTTTTCCTGGGAGAAACAGAAGACGCCCAGTCTCCCTCCTCGCATACTGGTGTCTATCTTCACCCCAGAGTCTGCTACCAGGTTAGGACCCTCATAGAAACGTGCCCTGAACACAACACACACACAGGGTTCAGAATGGTAGCTCAGTTGGTAGAGCATGGCATTTGCAACGCCAGGGTTGTGGGTTCGTTTCCCACAGGGGACCAGTATAAAGAAAAAAAAATGTGTATACACTCACTAACTGTAAGTCGCTCTGGATAAGAGCATCTACTAAATGACTAAAATGTAAATGTAAATGGGTGTGTGGGTGGTTGTGTGTGTCTCACCTGATGTATCCAACCTGTGGTCTGTGCTGTAGGTACCAGCGGTAGGACACCTTGTCCTTCCAGCCCACGTTCCTCTTGTCCTTCCACAGCAGGCGTACCTGGTCGTTGGTGTCTCCTGTGTGCCACAGGGAGTTCCTAAGATACTCCCCGGGACCCGTCTTAGACTTCACTGCCTGGAGGAGGGAGAGGGGGTGAAAAAGGAGAAGGTAAGAAAGGAAGGCCAGAAAAAGGATAGAGCAGGGTGGGGTTTGTGTTAAGCATTCTGTGATAGATGACTTTGTAAAAACATGGAAGAGCACACATACACACCTTGAGCTGAATGCCAGGCTCCGCCACAGCTCTGAAGGGTACAGCCTGCCAGTAGGTCTGTTCAGTCTGTTTCCACATGACCACGTAGAAAGAAGAAGAGTCCTGGTAGCCGAAGATGAAGCCTGCGTAGTCATCATCAGTCACCGTGTTGACATGGAACGTCCCCTCAAAGTCCACCCCACTGAACGCTGTGTAGCCTACACACACACACAACACAACACAGGCTTATTACATATACACGCTGAATGATGTGGGGCCTCCACACACACACACACACACACACACACCGTAAGTGGCACGGAGAGGGTGGCCTGTCAAATGGAGAATGAGAGTTGTCTTACCTACAGCGAGGCCAGGATCAGAGTTCATAGTCTGAACTATCTCCATACCCTGGGGACAGAGGGAGAGAGAAAGAGAGAGAGAGAGTTATGATACTACAGATGACATCGTACAGAATACTCCACTACCTACACATCATTGATCAAACTTAATTAAAGAACTCAATCAAGGATCAAACTTGTGTTGAATCGTTTACTTTTTTTTGTGCATAGTCTTTGACTCAAGCACTGTCAATGTTACTCAGTATCTGCTAGATGACTGAAATGTCAGAATGTAAAAGATGATGAGGTCACCTGGTTGAGGACCACCCAGTTGGGGTCAATCTGGGCGTCGCCCTCAGGGTCCAGTACTACCGTCTGATAGGCTCTGAAATCGGTCAGGGTGACCTCAGCATTCTCTGGACAGTTGTCTATCCTGTCAATCACCTTGTCCTGGTCGAAGTCCCCTGCACACGCATCACCCACACCATCATCTGGAACACACACACAGGCGCACACACACACGCCACACACACACGCCACACACACAGAGTCACACTGAGATTAGCCAGTGGGTTCTTGGTATGGCACGCCCACAGAGTGAGGAACTACTTGAGAGAGCATTGCTATGATACAGTAGGAAATGAAACTAGTGGAGTGACTGACTGTCCTCATCTGTCTGGTCAGGGTTGACCACCAGTCTGCAGTTGTCTGCTTCGTCCAGGATAGCGTCGTTGTCATCATCATTGTCACACTCGTCTCCCTGTCCATCCTTATCTGTGTCCAGCTGGGAGGAGTTGATTACTGTAGGACAGTTGTCCTTAGTGTTCTGGTGACCGTCCCCATCACTGACAGAGAGGAGAGAGGGGGGAGCAAAGTCAACTCAGTACACTCAGTATCAGAACTCTTCTATAGGTGTGGATGTGTTTATAGAAGGCTGTACCTGTCTATGTTGGTGTCACACGTGTCTCCTACAAGATCATCATCAACATCTGACTGTGGGAGAAGAAATGGAGAGATAATAATAATAATAATAATAATAATATTATTATTATTACCCAGCTGCTGGCAACTGGCTACATTAGATTTTCAGTCTGGGTTTGGGGTTAGGGTGGTGCTATGGTTGTGTTATGGTTGAAGTGGAGTTATGGTTCTGTAGTGATTTTGTTGTGGTTGTGATGTGCTATAGTTGTGTTGTGCTATGGTTGTGTTGTGGTTGTTTTTACGGTTACCTGGTTGGGGTTGACCATGTCTGGACAGCTGTCACAGGCGTCTCCCACCCTGTCGTTGTCTCGGTCCCTCTGGTCTGGGTTGGGCACACGCTGGCAGTTATCCAGAATGTTCTTCACGCCTGTCCACAAAAACACACACATAGGTAAAATTGTTAGTTTCTTCGGGCCCCAGATGGCAGGGTTTGTTTAAGGCAGAGATCATTAGTTTCCACTGGCTCGCAGCTGCTGGCAGGGTTTATAATGGAATAGAAAATGTTTTCAGAGCAGACAGACATGACCAAGCACTCAGCGATCCAGTGTTAGAGGGGGAGACATGACTAAACGATCAAGAGGTTGGAGGCCTGCCCCTGTGCACAGACACGAAACATCAAACTCAGACTGAATACGCGCACACACACTCAACTGGGACACACTTTCACTGTATCTGCCAATGGAACAAATTATAGTTTTTTTAAAGGGTAATGTAGTAGCTAAAGAGCACATCATTCAGAATCAGAGCTTTTTATAAAACAACAGTTAGGATTCCAAATGGGTTATTTATAGTGAGAAATGGGAACTCATTTTAAACCAATGTTTTTACTAGTGATTTGAACTTTATGAGGCTGAACCTTACCCCAGCTCCTGTTTTCTGTGTAAACAGATGAACTAACAGGTAGAAGACTTGGATGGAAGACAGACTAAAACAGACTGAGAGGATGTGAATGTATTCAATAGATATGGCTCCACTCTGTTGAAGACAATGACAAATATGAGTCTAGAACGGCTAGAGACAGGAGACATGCTGTTTTAAACCAGACAGCTAGACTGACCTCAGACTAACTATGGTTTGGGAAAATAGATCTTAAGGTCATGGATAAAGACGTCTTAGTGTGACAAAGTACTTCTACAGTCACTACCTTAAAATAAATCACTAGCTGTGGTACAATTTCCCTAACTCTACCCACTGGGCACACACTGGTTGAATCAACGTTGTTTCCATGTCATTTCAATGAAATTACGTTGAAAAAAAAGTGAAATAGACGTTAAATTGATGTCTGTGCCCAGTGGGTGATGACCAAAGCCTGGGGAAGGCCAGTCAAAGCACAGACACACACACACACCGTCTCCATCCATGTCATCGTCACAGTCGTCTCCTAGCCCGTCCTTGTCCGTGTCCCGTTGGTTAGGGTTCTCCGTCGTCAAGCAGTTGTCACATGCATCGCCATGGAGATCCTTATCGCTGTTCTTTTGGTCCACGTTAGGATGCAGCCAACAGTTATCCTGAGTTACACACAGAGACAGGGTTACTGCATCTGTTCAACATGTATCCTACCTGCTTGTGAACATACTGTACACGAGAGGAATTTGACAGTTGTGTACCTGTATGTTAATGATGCCGTCACTATCAGCGTCATCATCACAGGCATCCCCGAGTCCGTCCCTGTCTGCGTCCTCTTGACCAGAGTTCGGAACAAACACACAGTTGTCCTGGAAACAAATATAGAGTCTGCTTTACTAAATATTTCCAGAGGAAGAGGAAGGGAGAGAGGGAGAGGAAGAGGAAGGGAGAGAGGGAGAGGGAGAGGGAGAGGAAGGGAGAGAGGAAGAGGAAGAGAAAGGGAGAGAGGGAGAGGGAGAGGAAGGGAGAGAGGGAGAGGAAGAGGAAGGGAGGGAGAGAGGGAGAGGAAGAGGAAGAGGGAGAGAGAAAGAGAGGAAGGGAGAGGGAGAGGGAGGAGGAAAGGGAGGGAGAGGAAGAGGAAGGAGAGAGGGAGAGGAAGAGGAAGGGAGGAGAGGGAGAGAGGGAGCGGGGGAGAGGGAGAGAGGAAGGGAGAGAGAGGGAGAGGGAGGGAGAGAGGGAGAGGAAGGGAGGAGAGGGAGAGGAAAGAGGAAGGGAGAGAGGGGAGAGGAGGAGAGGGGAGAGGGGAGAGGAAGAGGGAGAGGGGAGAGGGAGAGGGAGAGGGAGGGAGAGAGGGAGAGGGAGGGAAGGGAAGAAGGGACGAGGAGGAGAGAGGAGAGGAAGAGGCGAGGGAGGAGAGGGAGAGAGGAAGGAGAGGAGAGGGAGAGAGAAGGAGAGAGGGAGAGAGGGAAGGAGGAGGAGGGAGAGGAGGAGAGGGAGAGGAAGGGAGAAGGAGAGGAGAGAGGAAGGGAGAGAGGGAGAGAGGGAGAGGAAGAGGAGGGGAGAGAGGGAGAGGAGAGGAAGGGAGGAAGGGAGAGAGAGGAGAGGAGAGAAGGAGGAGGGAGAGAGGGAGAGGGGAGGGAGAGGGAGAGGAAGGGAGAGAGGGAGAGGGAGAGGAAGGGAGAGAGGGAGAGGAAGGGAGAGAGGGAAGGGAGGGGAGAGGGAGAGGAAGGGAGAGAGGAGAGGGAGAGGAGAGGGAGAGGAAAGGAAGGGAAGAGAGGGAGAGGGAGAGGGAGGAGAGAGAGGGAGAGGGGAGAAGAGGGAGAGGGGAGGAAGAGGAAGGGAGAGGGAGAGGAGGAGAGGGGAGAGGAAGAGGAAGGGAGGAGGGGAGAGGAGAGTGAGAGGAAGGGAGAGAGGGAGGGAGGAAGGGAGAGGAGGAGAGGAAGAGGAAGAGGAAGGGAGAGAGGGAGAGGAAGAGGAAGAGGAAGGGAGAGAGGGAGATGGAGAAGGATGGGAAGCTGTGTTTTACCTTCTTACAGTTGTTGTCTCTGCACCTGAGCTTGTCGTCAGGGTAAGCATCGATGTCTGTGTCCTTCCCACACTCATAGCCGTTACCTGCCCACCCTATGTCACACTGATGGACAGAAGAGGAAGAGAAAAGGTTGATTTTCGATTGATTGCGCAGTAATGTCACATGAATAGTTTGTGTGTGTGTTCTCACCTGGCAGCTGATGCTCCCGTCTCTCTCCACTACACACTGTGCGTTGTTGTCACAGGGGTTTTGCTGGCCGTTCCCACAGAGCCTCTCCCTCCTGCAGCCCCTCACCTGGTCCCCGGGGAACCCACTTTCACACTCTCCACAGTGGAACGACCCCTGGGAGAGACAACAAATACAGGCCCAGGCTTCAACTCAGGCCTACTGTCAATGGGCTTCTCTTCACTCAGCCATAGGAAAGGCCTGTACTGTCACCAGCACTTTGAATTCTGAGAATTCTTCTCTGTCTACAGTTAGAAGACTGCACCAGAATGTTTGGTGTTCTAATGGTGTGTAGACATTACCAGATAGAAGAGCTTAGAGGAAGATACGTCATGATGATACCGTTGAATGGGAATATTCAAGCTGTGCGTGTGAGTGACTCTTACCACAGTGTTGTGACAGTGAGAGTTGGCAGTGCAGCCTCCGTTGTCAGGAGGACCCTGGCATTCATCTATGTCATAACACACCTACAGACCCACATGGAAAGAAATACACACACACACACTTACAAGACACAATAACAGCAGCTAAAGTACAACACAGTGTATACAGTGTGCCTATTACTGTTTATAAACAATTTGCATGTGTGCTACCTGTGTGACTGTAAATTACCTGTTTGTGTGACTGTGCGTAGGTGACGCCCACTCCATTGATCTCAGGACCAGTGTATCCCAGAGGACATCTCTCACAGCGGAACCCAGGAGCCGTGTTTACACACCTCACACCAGGGAAGCAGGGGTTAAACTGACACTGCAACACACACACACACACACACATTAGTGTTCACTGTTCACACGCTGGGCAAGTAGGGTTTACACTACTTTTAAAAAATCAAATAAAAACTACCTCGTCCACGTTGTCACAGTGAACTCCGTCTCCAGTGTATCCGTCAGGGCAGGGGGTGCAGGTGAAGCCTCCTCCCTCGGCCAGGATACACATGTCCTGATTGAAACACACACCTGGACTACACTGGGATGTGCCGGACCCTGCACCTGTACCTGGGCCTGATGCCATGTTGCCACCCAGACCTATAGACCACAGGAGGTTAGTGGCACCTTAATTGGGGAGCTTGGGCTCCTGGTAATGGCTGGAGTGGAATGAGTGGAATGGTATCAATTAACTCAGTTTTATCCATTATTATGAGCTGTGCTCCCCTTAGCAGCCTCCTGTGCTACAGACAGAGATACACAAATGTGTAATAGAACATCACACAGAACTTGAGTATCCTCAATCAGTATTAGTATCATCAGTATCCTATTGACCAGGTTTGAGTTCACATCTAAAATAAGAGTATGCATGGTGATATAAGTCAGTCATTAATTATTATCAGAAATAATTTGTCCTTTATACTAAGCAGTAACAGTAGTAATAGATCTTAGAGAACAGCTTACCACAGGCTAGACACTCTGAGATGGTGTTTCTAAGAAACGTGGTCTCCATAATCTGTTAGGGGAAAAGAAAAGACCAGTTTACTGTCGATACAGACAATACAAATGGTGGTGCCTTGAAAGGTGATGTTGTATTTATGGTCTCTAAGGCAGGTGATGTACCTGCTGGAGGAGCAGGTCCTTCATCTCTGACATCATCTTGTTGAGCTCCAACATCTGAGACGGATCCTGACCGCCTGACTGGAGGCCTGTGGGAAGTGCAGTCTTTAGCTACAGTACAACATATTTCTATGTTCCATCATACAGACTACATGACTTGTTGGTTTTTCAAGTGAGTAAAATGTACAGTATGGCTGAGACGTCAGAAACGGTCTAGTCATGTTTCTGGCAGCCTGATAGTCTTTATAACAGGCCTGTGTTCTTACCCAGTAGCTGAATAGTACCCAGAGACTCGCTCTGCTGCATGCTGCAGTCCTGGAGCGTAGCAACGTTATCTAAGGTGTCCTCTATTACCAGCTTCAGGTCTGTCAACTCATCCTGACAGAGACACATTAATGAGTGGTTAGTGATGAGTGACAACACAAAAAAGTATCACACCTGTGTTGTGGGTTAGTCTGGTCTAACTCAGCTGTATCTATGCTGCTCTTTTGTCTCACCTGCCCAGTGGGCTGCAGGGTCCTAAGAGCCACCCTGTTGGGTCCAGGTGTCAGCGACCCAAAGGCAGCTGGCAGCTCATCTATGATGTGAGCCAGTCTACAGTCTACGTAGACTGCCATACGACCTGGTCCTCTCTGCAGACCACTGGCATGGATAATCACATGGTGCTCTTTGCCGTCCGCCAGAGAAGGGTGGTTAAAACTGGTGGTGCCAGCCCTACCATCAGTCTTCTGGTAACGGACCGTCACTGAGGGAGGTGGAACGAGTACAGTTAGTTGGAAATGAATAGTATTCAAAGAGGAAGGGAGAGAAAGAGGAAAAGCGAGAGAGAGATAGAGAGAGAGAGAGAGAGAGAGAGAGAGAGAGAGAGAGAGAGAGAGAGAGAGAGAGAGAGAGAGAGAAATGGGTGTTGCTTTAGGTGTATAATCATATTTCTAATGTGAGACAGACATCAGTGTTTACCCTTGTTGAGTTTGGCCTGCAGGGTGAAGTCCAGGTACTTGCTGTTGTCTCTGGGATTGATGATGCTGTAGAGATGAGAGGGGGATTTGCTGTGGAGCCTGAAGGAGGAGAGGAGGAAGGCCTCATCCAGACCTTTGTTCTTCAGCCCTCCCTGCGTCAGGTCAGGCAGGCAGTCTGGAGACACCAGCAGGTCGTACACTAACACAGGAAACACACACACAACAAACACGCAGGCAACATTTATTCAACACTCATGCGTTTGTAACTGTTATTAGTGAGTTTAGTTAGTATGTGAATTCATGCCTATGGCAAGCTCTGATGAGCTGTAGAGCAAGGTTATTATAGTTTTGTGTTTTGTATTTGTTTTTATTTCTATTAGTTTTAAGATTTTTATTAGAAATTCTGTTTAGTTTCGGTTAGTTTTCAGATCCACTTCTATTGAATAATTGATTGGATTTATATAGCGCTTTTCTACCAACTGAGGTACTCAAAGCACTTTACATAGTAGGGGGAAACTCACCTCATCCACCACCAATGTGCAGCTCCCACCTGGGTGATGCACGGCAACCATTTTTGCGGCAGAACACTCAACACACATCAGCTATCAAGTGGAGAGGTGATGAATTATAAGCCAATTAGGAATGAGGGGGATAATTAGGTGTCCATGATGGAATGGGGCCAGGTTGGGAATTTAGCCATGACACCAGGGGTTAACACCCCTACTCTTACGATAAGTGCCATGGGATTTTTAATGACCCAGAGAGTCAGGACACCCGTTTAACGTCCCATGTGAAAGACACACCCTACACAGGGCAATGTCACCCTACACAGGGCAATGTCACCCTACACAGGGCAAAACTTAGTTTTATAAAAACATTTATATTTCGATTTTATATTATTTAGTTTCAGTTAAAATGTTAGTGCTAGAGACAGAAAGTAGCCTATTCGTGGGAGGCTCCCTCTGCCATATGGCCGCATTGTATGATACACCGAGAGCAACTGGCGGAAAAAGAGCTGAGCACAAAACTCTGAGATACACTGCAGCAGGTAACTTCAATTGTAAACTACAGCAAACCACATCCACTGTGCACACGCCTGTTCGGAAAACTACGTGGAGATATGGGATCAGAGCAGTGGCGATTTTAGCATGTAAATCTTGGTGGGGCAAACTCCCCCCCAAAAATGTAGATGCATGCCAGCAAAGCCACTACACAACACATTCAGCCCAATTTACTGCCTTTTTAAAAAACATTGCTGATATGGCTGACTTGCTTAAACAAACGTGGTTTCTACTGACAATTGAGATGTACAAACTATGGCATAAGGGAACGATGACCGGATAAGAGGCAATCCATAATTTCGATTAAGATATTAATGAGAGAGCTAAGACGGACGTAGTCAATATAACTATTTGTTCAGCACTTTTGAAATGTACAGCAACAGAATTCAGAACATGGGCCATTCTTACAGTATTCTCCCTGTACACCAAGTCAGAACCATAGGATAAATAAAGGGGGCATATAAGCAGACAATGAAAGCTCTTACAATATTCAGTGATGACATTTCTCTAAAATAGGCTATAGGCTACATGTGCACCACCAAGTCAGAACAGTAGGCTAAGTTATGAGGGGGAAAGGGACCAAATTATTAGGGTGAGGCTACTAACAGCTTACTACACAACATACACTTATTATTACTTTCTTAGCTACAGTATACATATCTCCCTGCCATATTACATCATTTATGCAGCAGCATACAATACATTTTTGGACTCTTGTTGAATCTTGTTGCGCTGTGCTCACTTGAACAGGACGGTGGCGCGGCGGTCATCAAACTTTGTCATCAAAGTCTGGCATTCTCTGGATTTATGGTGCTTTCAAGACAACTGGGAACTCGAAGAAAAAAAAGAACAAGGTTGAATCATGACGTCAGTGATCTTCAGGTCTGAGCTCTAGAAAGAGGCCCGATTTCCCGACTTGGAATTCCGAGTTGGATGACCGTTCAAAATGTTTTTTTCAGAGTTCCCAGTTGTCTTGAACTCACTGAAGTCTGAGATTTCCCAGTTCCTAGTTTCCAGACCCACTTGAACGTGACCAAAGACATGACCTAAACAGGAACCAATTTGCTGCGATTTATGTACAGTATACAGTGGATATATACAAATAAATGTGATATTTGAGGCTCTCTTTCACTACTTGATTGTACAATGTTCACACAATATTATATTATGATTTCAGTTTGTGAGTGTGTGGTATGGGGTAAGATGTTTATTTCGACATTATAAAGAAAACATTTTTTAAACAATGGCAACACTGCCATGTTGATCGGAGCCTTGCCATTGGAAAACCACATTAGTATCCGACTTTCGGCTGTCGCAGATGCACCTCCCCCAACTTCACTCCTATCGTCTACAGTCAGTTTCTTTAGCCTTACCACTCAAACACGCCCAATATCTGCAGTGCTGCTCGTGGCAATGTCATCTCGCTGAGTCTACATTTAAATTATGAAGTCAATCTCAATGTGACCTGCCAGATTAAGAAACTTGAAAACCCCATTAGAAAAAAAGCTTGAAAAGCCTATTGAAACCCCATTGGATTTTTGGCCCCCCAGAAAAAACTAAAACTGCACATAATTTATAATGGTTTTTATTTTATTTTAGTTAGTTTTGGAGTCAAAAATAATAGCTTCAGTATAGTTTTAGTTTTTCCAAATGTGTTTGTAAATGATTTTATTTCAGTTTACTAAATGGTTTTTTCATGATTCGTTTTCGTTTCGGTTTTAGTTTACTATAATAACCTTGCTGTAGAGTAGCTCCTGCTGAGTGTCAGGGCTTTATGAAGTGGTAGATTGTGTTTGTGTACGTGGGTTTGTGTGTGTGTGTGCGTACGTGCATGTGTGCATGTGTGTGTGTGTTTGTGTGTTACCACTGTTTTATAGAGTTGCAGATTGACCAAATTGCCAGCAGTAAACTCTTTACACTGGAACAAACCCACTGCTGCTACAACTCTGACACACACACATGCACAACCATGTACACGCTGCTGCTAGAGCCATAACCCAAATTCAGGAATTATACAAAGAGACATTTGTATGGGAAAAGCTGATGTGTATGGATTCCAGAGAAATTAAGTTATTGCACAAACACTTTCCTAAAGCCAATCAGTGTTATTCTACTCTCCCATAGTGGGCTTATTTGGGTCACCCAGTCGATAGATGTGTAACTGTGAAGCCTTTTCACAAACGATTCCAAAGGCAATCATTTAACAGCTCCAGCTAAATATATAATTATACTTCATCTGCAATTAGAAAACCATGCATGATTTAAAGACTAAGGGAAAAAAAACAGATTCAGCAGAGAAGCAAAGTTACACATTCAAATTTGGTGTAGATTGAGTAGATTTAGAAGTTCCAGTTTGAGTAGATTAATAAATTACATACTCAGTAGATTAAGAAGGTGCATTTTTTTTTGTCATTTAGCAGACGCTCTTATCCAGAGCGACTTACAGTTAGTGAGTGCATACATTTTTCATACTGGCCCCCCATGGGAAACAAACCCACAACCCTGGCGTTGCAAGCGCCATGCTCTACCAACTGAGCTACAGGGGACCTTGAGTAGATTGATAGGGTTTAAAACTACTAAAGTTATCAGTTTAGTACTGTAGGAGCATTTTGAGAGGTCAGAGAGTAGAGTATTGATAGATGATAGGTTGAGGTACTGACCTATGCCTTGTGCTGTGACAGTCCTAGCCAACTGTAGCATCAGCAGAGCGAGGAGCACTTCTCTGATCCACACCCCCATCCTCAGAAGTATCCTTTAGTCTTCAGCCTTCAGCACAAACCAGCCCTGATAACCCAGGCTGGGTCTGGGGTCACAGCTGCTGCACAAAAGACCTGGTCCTACAGACAGGGATCACTGAAGCAGCTATCTATTTAGAATACCCCTGGTGCTGACTGATAGATGGACCGACAGACTGACAGATGCTGTAAGTCTTTGTGGGGTATATTGAAAGAAGAGTCCCAGTAGCAGAGGTGAGATGCTCTTGTTGTTTCAGACTGGCTTTTTAAAGGGGCCAAACTTTAAAGTGGAGGGGTGTGTCCCTACACTCCCGTGGCTGAAGGGATTTTTAAAGGGGAGGGTAATGTCTCAGTGTTCCTGTAGTGACTAGGTTTTTAAAGTGTGTGTGTGTGTGTGTGTGTGTGTGTGTGTGTGTGTGTCAAGACCTTGGACCTTGAGACAGTTTTTAACTCTGGAGGAGTTTCAAGTTGAGAGTCTGGTCTTCATCTCTGCCTCTGTGCTTCCTTTGGTAACCGCAAGTTATTTCGACATCTCAGAGGCTTCAGCATAACAGACATCTCCAAATGCATACCACTTTCTGTGTGTTGCTCTGTTTGGTTTTCTATTTTCTAATTTTATTTTACCTTTCTTTGACCAGGAAGTCTCTTGAGAGAGAGATTTGAAATTACATCTATCATATAATGACACCATTTCCTATAGTTGAAGTGTCCAAGTGTCTGAAGTTCAGTTCACCCTAATACCAGTTCCAGCTGCGGGCACTGGCCCACCCTATTCCAATCAGGTGCTGGACGGATGCCATATTGGAGCCTTTTATCTCTATGACACAAAGGGGAAAATCCCAGGGGTAAAATCTCATACAGCTTAAACCAGCTGGAAGGAATAAGAGTTACTGAAAATTACACAATGCATGACCATGTCATAAAATGGGCAATAAATATGTCACATTCTTTCTCCTGAACATAGCATTTTCTACATAAAATAATGTATGATGTTTTACTATTTTTTAAAGATATAGGGCCAAGGCCTATATAGTTCTTAGAAAGCCACATTTAAAATAATGATAATTTTAAGACATGGAGAGTCCATTGCCATATGCATGGACATGAGTTAGACCAGTGTCAAGTCTGACTGCCATACATGTTCTGCTATGTAACTTCCTGGATAAACCCCCTCATAAAGTATTCATAAATATCAACAATATAGGACATCATCATAGGTAGGTCTAATGGTCATAGAGCTGCAGTTGAATGAATACAGGCCCTGCAGGGTGTATCAGAAGGCCATTAAGTTAAGCCTTTGAGTAGACTATTAATTTTCAACCTGCAAAGTTATGTTTGCAACCCACTTAAATGTCCACATCTCCTGGGGGCTAATTACCGACTAAATGACAAATTCCCGATGACATCACACACTTCATGGGGTGTATTCATTACTCCAAACAGTTGCAAAGCGTTCATATCGGGCAGGTTCAGCACACAGGGAAGGACCTACCTGAGTCTGTCCAATAGAAACGCTAGTTTTTGTTGCAAAACATAACTTTTGCAACTGTTTGGAGCAATGATTACACCCCAGGTCACAGCAAACAAACATGGCGGCTTCCATGGAGCTGAGATGCTGGGGAGGTGATTGGGGTTTGCCTTCAGTACACACAGATTCCCTCATAGTGCTGGTAAATGCGTTCAGGAAAAACTAAATGATGATATAATCTTTGTCTCGCCAGTGTTCTGATGCATGGCTGGCTAGCTACATTTCCATTGTTTTATCTGACAATCTTCACCTCTTACGAGGGATGCATGCAAAACCATCATCAACAAGACTGAGCTACCTACAGTATTTAGCTAGCTAGCTAACTGGAAAGCTAGCTAAATATCGATATTTGGTATTTCGGTTTATCTATGAATCTAGCCTTTTAGAGGCTTTTAAATTACATTTTAACTACCTAAAAGCTTCCGGCTTTCAATCTTCAATAGCTCTTACACAAAGCGTGCCATGACTATGAAAATGATATATTCTGAATTGGGGGAGGATGGACGAAAATCCACGGCTTTAGTTTTTTTTTAATATCTTACTTTTTTCCCTTTTTTTGCTTCGTTCTTCAATAGTTTTTAGACAAAGGTGCCATGACTATGAAAATGATATAGCCTATTCTGAATCAGGGTAGAATAGACAAAAATCCAGTAAATTGATTTAGTTAGTTAGTTTTTACTTCTGGTTTTCAATCTTCAATAACTCTTATAAAAGCGTGCTATGACTATAGAGTACCACATTATGAGTCATAATACCCATAAAACCTAGCGGTCAAACAGGGAAATGGTTTGAGTCGTTTTTCCACCATTCATTTTTCCTATAGGGGATTTTAGAAACACTTAAAATAAGGGCTGTGTTTCGTGTAGGCTTACACTGGTGTGACGTTTTGATAACTGTAAATCTCTCTAGGACAAGGTGACTTATCAATATATTCAACTGTATTTACCCCCCAAAAATGAAACGCTAATTAGCTGCTAATGTGTCTCATAAAGAACTACAAATGCCATGATAATCTGGACAAGACTGCCGAATCGAGGCAAAGGTAATAATCTCTGGATTAACTATCTAAGGTTAGCTAAATGTAGTAATGAATAAGTTGGCAAAATGTATTTAAATTGACATTTGTGAACTATCTTGTGCAAGTTTTAAATTGACACAATAACTGTTAGCAGAGATGACGTGCAGGAGCTGGCAGGGATTTGTAGTTTTGCATGATGTCTACTTTGATGCTAATTTGCATTTTCGAATCTGAAAGTAAATAGAGCCGAATATAGTGATAAAAATCACCTTGTCCAAGAGAGATTTACACAGTTATCAAAATGTAACTCCAGGGTAAGCCTACACGAAACACATCCCTGAATTTAAGTGTTTCTAAAATCCCCTAAATGAATGGTGGAAAAACGATTGGAACCATGTCCTTGTTTGACCGCTAGGTTTTATGGGTATTATGACAACTCCACTGTGGGGGTCTATAGCTAGGTTTCCATCCAATTGGGGACAGATTTTCATGAGAATATTCTAAAATCAGCATAAAGAAAATATGCGCATTTTCCACCATCAGTGCATGATGACGTAGTGCACACAAAATTTACTTTTTCGATTAAGTTTTCACATACCGAATAAATATCTAAAGTTCAATGTGTTTCCATTGCATTTTCAACTCTACCGATAGTTTTGTCACAAACTGTTGCGTTAAATAGCAAATATTCCTACTCTGGTCTTGGCACGTGCGTTCTAGCCAACAGCTCACAGATAAAAAATCCCATTTTTTATTTAACCCCCTTTTTCGATCTTGTCTCATTGCTGCAACCCCCCAACGGGCTCGGGAGGCGAAGGTCGAGTCATGTGGCCTTAACACCCGCCCGCTTAACCCAGAAGCCAGCACCAATGTGTCGGAGGAAACACTGTTCAACTGACGACCGAGGTCAGCCTGCAGGCACCAAGCCCGCCACAAAGAGGCGCTAGAGCGCGATGAGCCAAGTAAAGCATCCCCGGCCAAACCCTCCCGACGCTGGGCCAATTGTGCGCCGCCCTATGGGACTCATGATCACGGCCGGTTGTGATACAGCCTGGGATCGAACTCACGTCTGTAGTGACGCCTCTAACAATGCAATGCAGTGCCTTAGATCGTTGCGCCACTTGGGAGGCCCATTTTTATTTTTTGTCCGTCCTCCCCGGATTCAGAATATATCATTGTCATAGTCATGGCACGCTTTGTGTTATCCATTACATTACACATAAGAGTCATTGGACGAAGGCTCTCTTGTATGGGGAGAGTTTTGTTAAGATCCCAGACGCTCGGTCTGAACATTAACATGCATTGCTTGCGGTACGGTTTTGGAAGCATAAGGAACTTATCTTTCGTATCAGCAAGAAATAATTTTAAATAAACAAAAGGTTAAATTGATACACACCTTGATAGGGTTAGTGTTCCCACACAGCCATATCTCCATGTTACAGCGCTTGTTTAAGGAAAACAGACGGAAGACAAGAGGCGACCACCTGTGCTAATTAGCTTTCTAGCATGCTCCAAACACTCAGGAAGTGTGGCTGATAACTGTAGGGAGAAGGCAGAATTGTTCAAATGCATTAGTCCACTATCTAGTAGTCCACTGTAGCTCAGTTGGTATAGCATAGTGCTTGCAATGCCAGGGTTGTGGGTTCGTTTCCCACGGGGGGCCAGTATGAAAAATGTATGCACTCACTAACTGTAAGTCACTCTGGATAAGAGCGTTTGCTAAATGACTAAAATGTAAATGTAGAATGCTGCCTAGAGTTTTCGAGAGCTAGCTTTGTGTAAAAACTATTGAAGATTGAAAGCAAAAAACCCCAAAAAAATGTATCTCCAAAAATCAAACGTAGTGGATTTTTGTCCATCTTCCCCTGATTCAGAATGTCATTATCATAGTCATGGCATGCTTTGTGTATGAACTATTGAAGATTGAAATCCGAAATGTTATTATATACAAAAATGAAAAAATGTGGCTTTTCTTCTATCCACCCTTGATTCCGAATATACCATCTTTATAGTCATGGCATGCTTGGTTCAATAGCTATTGACGAGAGAACCTAATATCCACCGAATATCCAATACAAATATTTAATCAATTTTAGAATAAGGCTGTAACGTAACAAAATGTGGAAAAAGTCAAGGGGTCTGAATACTTTAAGAATGCACTGTATGTCTGTCTTTTATGTCTAGCTGAAGCTAGCTAATGTTAATAGCTGTCACTGTCAGATGCCATTCTCATTGCTAACATTTCTTCAAGTTCAAGGTCGGCTCTCTCTCGATTTACTTCTACTGACCTCGGTACGACCACTCTCCTGTCTTCTTGTTCTTAGCTTTGTAGCTAGCTAGCCCAGTAGCTAATTTTAACATATCCAAATTTAGCTAATTAGGTAAGTATACAGTTGCATGATCCAATTCCCTATAGGCTAGCTGCTTCAACTATATGAATCATGCAATTGCAAGGTGACACCGTTCCTGTTGAAAATGGCTTGCAACTGCCAGATCATATGCTGGCTGACAGTGTCAACAAAATAGTTTGGCATAATTTTGGCATGTCTGTCCTATCTCTATTTGTATTGTTGTTCTTGGTGCTTACTAATAATCTACCCGCCAATCTACTAAATACTGATAGTCTGCTATTAGAGCTAGTGCCAAAGCCTAGACTAGAGCCAATGCCAAATAATACTAAGTGATATCTTGCCGAGCTTAACAACCAAGAAAGTGTACTGCTTTGACAACATTGATATGATAGCCTAAGCCTGCATAGTCTCTTATCACAGCCACTGAGACATAGCGGCTGTGAGAAGGGACTAAAGCCTGCATAATACTCTGACAACACCGCTATGATCCTGCCTGGCTAGAGCAAGGGAAACTTGATGACAAATGAATGTCATGTGTTCCGCTCATGGTTATTATTATGTAGGCTTTATGATACAGTGTTATTCAGTAAAGGTTTCAATAGTCTCATGTCTTATGTTTCCTCTGAAAAGCTAACTTCTCTGCTCTCTCTCAGGCTTATGCCAATTTCTCTGGAGCCAAACTCACTGTTACACCCATAGACTGGACGTGGAGGACATTGACAGGTACTGTTTCCAAAGAATCAGAATTATGTTGTACTAACACTAGTAATTACATGATCATTATTATGTAATTTAACCTTGTAGAAAAGGTAAATATTAGCTAGTAAAGGATAGTCATCCAGACCTAAAATACTCTATCTGATGGAAGAGTATGAGATTTACTGCCTACTGTACATAGACATATTTACAACATGATCTAAATGTAGAGAGCCTACGTGTGTCAGTGAAAGGTGAAGTCTCTCTTCCTGGTCTACTGTAGTTGTATAGGCCATACCGTTATAACATATGAACGGTGTAGTAACACAGGATGACACACTGTCAAACTCAGTTTCCCCTCTGTCCAACACTACAGGCGCAGTGCCAGAGTTGGTCTGCCAGGGATCCACAGTAACCGAACCTGCTCAGATTCTCAACTTCCTGAGAAAACAAGTAAAGTCTCCTTTCCTGCCTTCACAGTAAATTAAGTTTTGAAGAACTATATTTATGCAGAGCTAACAACAAAGCCTGTGTGTTGTCTACCAGAGGTTTAATGCAGACTATGAGTTGTCGGCGAGGCAGGGAGCAGACACCATGGCTTACATTGCTCTGCTGGAGGAGAAACTACGACCAGCTCTGGTAGGAACAACCAGTGTGTGTGTAGTTGTGGTGTGTACAGATTGTTGTGGGTGTGTATGTTGTTTTGCACTTAGACACATTTTGAAAGTGCAGCAGAGGGTTTTTGTTTGCATAATAAGAGTGTTATGTGCCCTGTATTGTGTACTGTTTTCTAAGTGTGTATTCTGTGTGTGTGTGTGTGTGTGTGTGTGTGTGTGTGTGTGTGTGTGTGTGTGTGTGTGTGTGTGTGTGTGTGTGTGTGTATGTTGTCCTGTAGTTACACACGTTCTGGGTGGATGCTGAGAACTATGCTAACCTGACTCGGCCGTGGTTCGCCTCCCACTCTCCCTTCCCCCTCAACTTCCTGGTCCCTGGTCGCCATGCCAACATGGCCCTGTCCCGGATCCTGCTGACCAAGGGAGAGTCCCCTCTACACACCATCACTGAGGTGGAGGGAAAGGTAGGAGAGACTCCTCTACACACCATCACAGAGGTGAAGGTAGGACAGGAATACATACTGTGGGGACTACTTGATACCAAATGATATCTCACCCCTGCATTCTAAGTAAATTCTCCTCTCTCCATCCCCCCTCTCGTCAGATTTACAGTGAAGCGAAGGAGTGTCTGAATCTTCTCTCCCACAGATTGGGGACGGCCTACTACTTCTTTGGGAACACGTGAGTTCTGGACTACCGTAGTGGGTTGGGCTGGGTATGATTATATTATGTGTGGTGTATTAATGTATGTGTCTTTCTATCTGTCGCAGGCCGTCCAGCCTGGATGCGTTTGTGTTTGGCTCTGTAGCTCCCCTCCACAAGGCCAGTCTACCCAGCAGCCCTCTGCAGAGCCACCTCAGACAGCTGGACAACCTCCAACGCTTCTGTGACCACATACTCAACGCTCACTTCAGCAGTCATCCCGGTGAGACCAGCGTTCTATACCTTGTGTGTGTTTGTGTGATTGTCAGCCTAGGCTGTTTATATATTGATGATTGCTTCAGGTCCAGGGGTTTGGGTTACAAAGAGCCTGTTGTGTTTTTAATAGAACATGGCGGTGAAAATCTGGTGAACTTCAGGTCCTGCAAAGCCTTTTATAAACACAGGATGTGGTACTTTTGGCAGGTTGTCATTGCAGCAGGAGCAATACCTAAGAGTCTGTACATGTATGTGTGAGCGTCGGTGAACTAAGACACTAACACAGTTTATCGCTTCCTTTGTCTGGGCTGTGATGGAGAGCTTCTGCTACATTCTGGCATTGATGCTAGATCTCCCCTCTTTTCTCTCACTCTCTCTTGCTCTTTTCTCTGCTGTCTATATCTCTCGCTGGGTAAATCCATTTGAATTCCATCACTTTAAAAATGTTTTATGAAACCTTCCATTACTGACCCCATTTAGTTGACTGGTCGATTGTTTGGTCGATAGGCTGTTGGACAAAAGTTTATTTTTGTCGGGCAGTCGCATATTGTTATTTTTTATGGCACACAAGACGCATGTCTGATTGGCGTCTGTCTCAGCGGACTAATCTAGCGGACTAGGCCACAGGGATGACACAGTCCATCACTCTAAGACGTGATACTGAAATTGTATATGGTTATATTATGTAAGAACAATGGTGTAACACACAAAAAAATACATTATTTTATAAATATTTTCTGAATTGTATGGTTTATTACAATATTGTTTGATTTTTATTATTTTACTTTGATTTAGTCAGGGGAAACCCATTGAGACCAGGGTCTCATTTTCAAAGGTGCCCTAAGCACAGCAATACAACGATACAAAATAATCACTCTAACAAAGATAAAACAAAGACAAAACTACAAGTTACAACTTTCAACATTACAACCACAACAATCTCTTCATTCAATCAAAAACAACCAACTCTCATTCAACACGTCTAATACTAGTCTTAAACTGCCCTGGTGGCACCAGGGAATCAAGATGCAAGGAGTTCTGCAGGCTATTCCAAGAATTTGGGGGTATTAAAACTGAAAGCGGATATACCTGCATTTTACCTGCATTTTGATAAATGGTGACACCATAGTCCAAAACTGGCAGGAAAGTTGATTGTACAATCTGCTTCCTGCTGTTTAGAGAGGCCAGATCTAAAAAAGAGGCCCACTTTAAATCTTACGCCCAGATATTTATAGGCGTGAACCCGCTCGACGAGAGACTCATCCAATGAGTAAATATGAAAAGTCTGAAAAATGTTATTAATGTTTAGAATGTATAAATGTTAAGAAAAACATATATTTTCAAAATACTGAAATCTGGCCCGTATGATGCCATGAGGGCGAAGGAATTGTCCGTAGAGCTCCGAGACAGAATTGTGTCGAGGCACAGATCTGGGGAATGGTAACAAAACATTTCTGCAGCATTGAAGGTCCTCCACAGTGGCCTCCATCATTCTTAAATGGAAGAAGTTTGGAACCACCAAGACTTGGAACAACCATCCCTACTGTGAAGCATGGTGGTGGCAGCATCATGCTGTGGGGATGTTTTTCAGCATCAGGGACTGGGAGACAAGTCTGGATCGAGGGAAAGATGAATGGAGCAAAGTACAGAGAGATCCTTGATGAAAACCTGCTCCAGAGCGCTCTGGACCTCAGACTGGGGCGAAGGTTCACCTTCCAACAGGACAACAACCCTAAGCACACAGCCAAGATAACGCAGGAGTGGCTTCTGGACAAGTCTCAATGTCCTTGAGTGGCCCAGCCAGAGCCCGGACTTGAACCTGATTGAACATCTCTGGAGAGACCTGAAAATAGCTGTGCAGCGACGCTCCCCATCCAACCTGACAGAGCTTGAGTGGATCTGCAGAGAAGAATGGAAGAAACTCCCCAAATACAAGTGTGCCAAGCTTGTAGCGTCATACCCAAGACTCAAGGCTGTAATCGCTGCCAAAGGTGCTTCAACAAAGTACTGAGTAAAGGGTCTGAATACTTACATAAATGTCATTTTTCAGTGTTTTATTTTTAATACATTTGCCCAAATTTCTAAAAACCGGTTTTTGTTTTGTCATTATGGGGTATTGTGTGTAGATTGATGAGGGGGGAAAATTATTTAATCCATTTTAGAATAAGGCTGTAACGTAACAAAATGTGGAAAAAGTCAAGGGGTCTGAATACTTTCCGAATGCACTGTATATACATTTTAACCAGTCAGAAACGCATCCGAATTCGGCCTAGACTTCTTTAACTAAGATTCAGTAATAATCAGAATGTCCGCGTTGGTTTGAGAAGCCAGAGTTACACTAAAATCAATTTTCGAAATCAAACATCTGGCATTTACATGAATCAGTTCAAGGCTGCAGCTGTGGGATTTCAGAACAGATGGAATCTCTAAAACAACCATGCTATGTTCAGTAGGTACAGTATGTGTAACCCCTGTTTAACGATACCGTAGGGCTGGCTTGAATTGTATAAATATAACATTTCCCAGGACCATTAGGCCTATGCCTCGAACATATACAGTATTAACATAATGCCAAACATCCCCTTTCATCACTACAACCGCTGGGCCTTGAGGGACCCCCCTCTTCAAGCTAACAGTGTAATTCATTCATTTCATTTATGCTATCGTAAAAAGAATCATTTGGTTGTGTTTATGAAAGTCAAAGGTAACATTAGAATACAATATTATTTTTAATTCTCAAATAACACAATAGCATTTTCGTTAGTTTGTTACTGTAGGCTAAATGTAAAAACCAAAAACCAGTAACAACACATTCAAGTGTACAATCAATTTTATTTGTGGAGTGCCTTTGGTACAACTATGAAACAGAAAGCATATGTGTTGGAATGTGGTAACAGCTTGTTTTTGTAACCAAGTGTGCTTGATAAATAGTGAAAATCGGCACAAAAGCAATAATGTCATTATAATGAATATACAGTGGGGAGAACAAGTATTTGAAACACTGCCGATTTTGCAGGTTTTCCTACTTACAAAGCATGTAGAGGTCTGTAATTTTTATCATAGGTACACTTCAACTGTGAGAGACGGAATCTAAAACGAAAATCCAGAAAATCACATTGTTTGATTTTTAAGTAATTAATTTGCATTTTATTGCATGACATAAGTATTTGATACATCAGAAAAGCAGAACTTAATATTTGGTACAGAAACCTTTGTTTGCAATTACAGAGATCTTATGTTTCCTGTAGGTCTTGACCAGGTTTGCACACACTGCAGCAGGGATTTTGGCCCACTCCTCCATACAGACCTTCTCCAGATCTTTCAGGTTTCGGGGCTGTCGCTGGGCAATACGGACTTTCAGCTCCCTCCAAAGATGTTCTATTGGGTTCAGGTCTGGAGACTGGCTAGGCCACTCCAGGACCTTGAGATGCTTCTTACGGAGCCACTCCTTAGTTGCCCTGGCTGTATGTTTTGGGTCGTTGTCATGCTGGAAGACCCAGCCACGACCCATCTTCAATGCTCTTACTGAGGGAAGGAGGTTGTTGGCCAAGATCTTGCGATATATGGACCCATCCATCCTCCCCTCAATACGGTGCAGTCGTCCTGTCCCCTTTGCAGAAAAGCATCCCCAAAGAATGATGTTTCCACCTCCATGCTTCACGGTTGGGATGGTGTTCTTGGGGTTGTACTCATCCTTCTTCTTCCTCCAAACACAGCGAGTGGAGTTTAGACCAAAAAGCTCTATTTTTGTCTCATCAGACCACATTACCTTCTCCCATTCCTCCTCTGGATCATCCAGATGGTCATTGGCAAACTTCAGACGTGCCTGGACATGCGCTGGCTTGAGCAGGGGGACCTTGCGTGCGCTGCAGGATTTTAATCCATGACGGCGTAGTGTGTTACTAATGGTTTTCTTTGAGACTGTGGTCCCAGCTCTCTTCAGGTCATTGACCAGGTCCTGCCGTGTAGTTCTGGGCTGATCCCTCACCTTCCTCATGATCATTGATGCCCCACGAGGTGAGATCTTGCATGGAGCCCCAGACCAAGTGTGATTGACCGTCATCTTGAACTTCTTCCATTTTCTAATAATTGCGCCAACAGTTGTTGCCTTCTCACCAAGCTGCTTGCCTATTATCCTGTAGCCCATCCCAGCCTTGTGCAGGTCTACAATTGTATCCCTGATGTCCTTACACTGCTCTCTGGTCTTGGCCATTGTGGAGAGGTTGGAGTCTGTTTGATTGAGTGTGTGGACAGGTGTCTTTTATACAGGTAATGAGTTCAAACAGGTCTAGTTAATACAGGTAATGAGTGGAGAACAGGAGGGCTTCTTAAAGAAAAACTAACAGGTCTGTGAGAGCCAGAATTCTTACTGGTTGGTAGGTGATCAAATAATTATGTCATGCAATAAAATGCAAATTAATTACTTAAAAATCATACAATGTGATTTTCTGGATTTTTGTTTTAGATTCCGTCTCTCACAGTTGAAGTGTACCTATGATAAAAATTACAGACCTCTACATGCTTTGTAAGTAGGAAAACCTGCAAAATCGGCAGTGTATCAAATACTTGTTCTCCCCACTGTAAGTGTTGATATGACAGCAGTCAAAAATAGTCAATTATTGTCAGCTCGTGCTTACATGGTATGCGTTGGGGATGCGCGGGTTTACTCATAACCCGCAGTTCCCGTGGTTAGATCCGCAGGGCGGGCGGGTTTAGAGTCATGAAATACTGGATGAAGGGCAGGTGGGTGGCGGGCAGGTTGAATAAAGAGAAAACAATATCTTCAAAAATCCATAAATGTATAATTCTTGCGCAATTTATATCTACAGGCTACATTGGGGTTTTTCTTTCATTATTTGTAGGCTATCTGGCATTAATGCGTAAGCCTAAGCTTTAGGGCCTAACTTTATGCACGCCAAATAGCCTACACGCCAACCGCTTTTGGGAATGTGCAAAAGTTGACCAGAAAAGTAATGTATGAAAGATTTGGTGAAGTGGTAAAAGAGGATGATAGCATTGCCTATGTTATGTGTGATGATTGTGACCCACTTGGCACACACTGGTTGAATCAACGTTGTTTCCACGTAATTTTAATGAAATTATGTGGAACCAACGTGGAATAGATGTTGAATTGACGTCTTTGTCCAGTGGGGAGGCGCTATACAAATTCGACAGTCGCTAGACGGCAACTTCAAATAGGCCTATGACACATCAGGGGAACTGTAACCTACTGTTCAGATGGGTTAAATGGAAACGGAAATATGGACACTGACTGTAGGTCTATAACCTCTCACATAGCCTTAATATTATTTCCTGCAAATTTAGCATTTCTTGCAGTAAAATGATAGGCTACATCAAATGTAAATTTTTACTCAGGAACAGGAGTAGAAAAATATGATTTTTCTTTCTGCATCATGAGAGAATATTTGAACCACATAAAATATGCATTCAAGCCGAACTGAAATCTTATCAGAAATATGTTGGGTCGTTTTCACAGCTTTCTATTTCCTTACAACCGGTCAAACTGAATTCCACACCGAAAATCGTTCCCTTTTTTTTTTTTTTTTTTTTTTGCATTTTCTCCCCGGTCCCTAAATGTCTTTGCTCCAGGAAGAAGCCAAGATGACAGAACTTTACGGATGTCAACTAGATTGAAGCATTCATTCATCATTTGTGACAGTAAAATAAAAAATGTATGCACTCACTACCTGTAAGTTGCTCTGGATAAGAGCGTCTGCTAAATGTCTGGTGAGCAAGGGTTTATTTAGATTTCTAGGGCAACATATAATGACAAGAGAAGCTGCATGTATCTAATTAAGTCGACTAACAAATAAGCCTACCAACATTTCAGAAATTATAAGCAGAAACCGATCTAAATTAGGCTATATATGGAAAAATACACGTTTTAAAATGTTGATCAATCGAAAGAACAGACTACTCTCGGTCAACCAATATTTGTTGTTGTTGGGGACAGCCCTATATTTGCCCATTTGTAGAAGTGCTAAAACATTGACCTTTTTGGACCTGAATGCCAAAACATTCAAGACATAAAGGTGCTCAAAGTTTACCTTTTTTTTTTTTTAAGAACTTATCAAATAGTTTTACAACCCTGTTTGTAAGCTTTTAAATTATATCAAACTCAACCGTGTATCTTTTCAAGTGGTGAAGACATGGATGTCTCATGGTATGGTGTGGTATGCAAAATGGGTCCACATTGAGCACCTTTATTTCCTGAATGTTTTGGCACTCAGGTCCAAAAAGTCCCTTTCTGACCACTTCTTCCATGGGCAAACATGTATGGAAAGTTTTGTTTATATCAAAAGAGATGCTGTCAAGAAGTGATTGAATTCAAATGGATTTACCCTGCTTTCTTTTTATAACGGCCTCTCTTTCTCTCTCCCCCCCGGTTTCTCCCCACCCTGTTCTCTCCAGGGTCTCCCCAGTCTGTTCATGAGACAGTGGATGCCAACCTTCAGAAACTCACTCAGCTTGTTAATAAAGAGTCCAACCTCATAGAGAAGGTCCTGCTGCGTTTCTCTACTTGCACGTGTTTGTGTGTGTTGTGTTAGTAATTGGAGTATATTGTGGGCATTAGATACACTTCTGTATGTATATGTGTTTAGAGTTTGTTTTTAGTAACTTCTATGTTATATGTATGTTTACTGACTGTGTGTGTTCTCCTGCAGATGGATCACAACCTGAGAAGCAGCCCTCAGCACAAACCCCTCAGAGCAGACCCCAGATCCAGACCCAGCTTGGGCAACGACAAGAGCTCTACCCCTGCCTAACCCTTAGCCCCTGACCTCTAGACCCTGACCAGCCTGGTGGATGAGAAGAGCTCTACCCCCCCTGACCAGCCTGGTGGATGAGAAGAGCTCTACCCCCCCTGACCAGCCTGGTGGATGAGAAGAGCTCTACCCCTGTGTTGGAGGTGTGCTGTATTATACTGAACCTGGTTCAGATACTGTAAATACCCTAGCCTGAGTGCCAGTCTGTTTGTACTAGCATGCCAACTCTTTGTCACTCATTGACAAGGACAGCAGTGGAGTTGGCAAGAGCACAAACAGATCTGGGATCAGGCTACAAATACCCTGGGTTATCCCTTACATGATAAATAGAGCATTTGATAGTTTTAGACAGTTTATGCCTTGCAAGTGTAATTGAAACTGCCCTAAATGGAAACTGTCAATGAATAATAACAATGACAGAATTGTGGACTATTTAGAGACCATGATGGTGTATGTTAAATAAATATGGTTTCATGAAATGAGGAAGAATGTGGAAGGTTGAGAAAAGTGTTAGTTGTTTAGAGAGGAATGCTGAGGACTGCTACTACATGAGAAGCCTTTAGAACATTGAAAGGCAAGAGGCAGGAAATTAGATGGCCAGTTGGAGAAAAAAGCTCTGAGAGATAGTGGCATTAAAATAACTTTCTAGTGATCGTATGAGAGGGGAAAACTGTAATTTTATTAAACCCTTTTCTGTGTCACATATTCTAAAGGATTGAAATGACTGAGGCCCCTATTCATTCAAACCTGCATTGTAGTATGTATTTACGCAGGAACATGTTACATGTTTTCTTTCCTGTAGTCAGGTAATACAAATGCATAGCTCCCCCACAGGCACAGGTACTGTAGATGCTCTCAGGATTCAGAAAAAAGTTGTGTGTTCATGGACTGTAGTCGTGTAAACAAAGTTACTGCATAAGCACTGCTATGGCAGGTTTGATTGAATTTATTAGTTAAGGGCTAAATCTATGCCAAGTATATCAGGGAATTATTCTATATTTCTGTGGTATAATGTAAATGAAAATGCTTGGGACACTTATATTTATGTTTGTAATGAACAGTACAGGTGGAATTGATGCATCATTTTGAGAGATTCTGGTCTAAATGAGGTCATTACTGACAGGCAGGCACTGACACTGGTCTACTTGAGTTTTGAAATGTTATGTAGCTAGAAGCTACTGTAGTTGTTGCACAATCCTAAATTATCAGAATAATGCTGTCCTCAAAGTGAAGGTCATTCCTCACCTGAGGACTGATTCAACCCTTTATCCACTGTGACTAGAGGTACGCCCCAAATTGCACCCTATTCCCTATAAAGTGCACTACTTTTGACCAGAGTGCTATGGGCCCTGATCAAAAGTAGTGCACTATAAAGGGAATACAGTGCCATTTAGGACGCATACTAGCTATCTGTGGTGTTTCCATCCAGACCTGCTGTATCTATGTGCATAATCAGTTAGTATTACTGTATGAGGGTATGTACTGTACTATAGCTCTTTAGTTTCAGTGATAGATGCCAGTGTTTTTAGGTCAAATTTATGTTCATATTGAATGGGGGAGTGTTTAATATAACGCAAATGATTTGTTAGGATTACGTTTATTTTACTGAGGGAGATGTCAAAGCCTGAAGTTTTCCCTTTAACAAATAGATCATCTTTACAACTGTTGTGTTAAATTAGCACTGTAAATAGAGTTATTAGTATACACTCAGTTTATTAGGTACACCAATCTAGTACTGGGTCGGACCCCCCTTTGCCTCCAGAACAGCCTGAATTCTTTGGGGCATTCTACAAGGTGTCGGAAACGTTCCACAGGGATGTTGGTCCATGCTGACTCGATGGCTTCATGCAGATGCTGCAGATTGGACGGTAGTACATTCATGTCAACAGCTCGTTCCATCTCATCCCGAAGATGCTCTATTGGGTTGAGGTCTGGGGACTGCGCAGGCGACTCAAGTAAACTGACCTCGCTGTCATGTTCCAAGCAATGTTTTTCCACTCCTTAATTGTCCAGTGTTTGTGATTGCGTGCCCACTGGAGCAGGTCCTTCTTGTTTTTAGCTGATAGGAGTGGAACCCGGTATGGTCGTCTGCTGCAATAGCCCATCCACGTCATGCCATTCTTAACACCACTGTTGTACTGCACCCTTATTTGTCTGTTTGTGGGCCGCCTGTTAGCTTGCACGATTCTTGCCCTTCTACTTCTCTCATCAGCGAGCTGTTTTCGCCCACAGGACTGCCGCTGACTGGATGTTTTTGGTTTGTCGCACCATTCTCTGTAAACCCTAGATACTGTCGTGCGTGAAAATCACAGGAGGGCGGCAGTTTCTGAGATACTGGATCCGGCGCGCCTGGCACTGACGATCATACCGTGCTCAAAGTCCCTTAGGTCACTCGTTTTGCCCATTCTAACATTCAATCGAACAGTAACTCAATGCCTCTATGCCTGTCTGCATGCTTTATATAGCAAGCAACGGCCAAATGACTCACTGTCTGTAGGAGCGATCCATTTTCGTGAACGGGGTGGTGTACCTAATAAACTGTACAGTATGTATGCTATCATATCTCTGTAGAAGTTACCTAATTTAATTAGCTATTATCCTGCCTCTTCATTAAAAGAAAATTGTTGTGATCTTAACTTTGTATAATTGTAAATACATTTAAAATACTAATCCAATGCATTTAATTCAACCTTGTACCTTTTTATAACAGTGCTGCTTAGATTAATGCAGTTCAACTCCTCACGTGTGTTTTCATTCTTTAGTTAAGACTGAATTGAGTTATTGACTCTGTACAGTTGGGGTTAATTTAGATACATGTTTTAGATGATTGTTCGGCAGTATCAGAAACAGACTATCGTAATACAAGTGTCATTGTGAGGTATTTTACTTTCGATATCAGTTCATCAAGTCTGATCACTAATTCACCCCATGTTGTGGAATAGTTTTTTAACCCTCGTGTTGTCCTCCCAAATGCCTTATGCCTTTTGTCCTCTGGGGTCAAAAATGACCCCGCCTGGTTTGACTGTTTATAAAGCATACAGTATACATTTTCAATCAATTCTGTGTTACATCTTTAGTCTTACTTCTGTTCAACCCATTACTATATATTTTTTCATTTGTTTTGGAATTTAGAGCCAATAGACCTTGTTTACATAAAAGTATACCCTGTTTTTAAGTAAAAAATACAATGAAACTATGAATTATTTTGACCTATTATTATTTTGACTATTTGACTTATCACTGAGTGGTATTTGTAAAAGTTTAGTGAGGATGCTGTTTTTGAATCATTTTATTTTTATTAATGACAGCCCATAATCACACCTTTTGTCCTCTGGGGTCAAAAATGACCCCGCCTGGTTTGACTGTTTATAAAGCATACAGTATACATTTTCAATCAATTCTGTGTTACATCTTTAGTCTTACTTCTGTTCAACCCATTACTATAATTTTTTTCATTTGTTTTGGAATTTAGAGCCAATAGACCTTGTTTACATAAAATTATACCCTGTTTTTAAGTAAAAATACAATGAAACTATGAATTATTTTGACCTATTATTATTTTGACTATTTGACTTATCACTGAGTGGTATTTGTAAAAGTTTAGTGAGGATGCTGTTTTTGAATCATTTTATTTTTATTAATGACAGCCCATAATCACACCTTTTGTCCTCTGGGGTCAAAAATGACCCCGCCTGGTTTGACTGTTTATAAAGCATACAGTATACATTTACAATCACTTCTCTGTTTCAACTTTTCAGTCAACTTTATTCCAACCTATTACCTGACATATAACACATGTTATAATTCATTTCCAAAACATTTTCAACTTCAAAACCTAACTTTTTAGTCTGAATGAGCCCTCAGTTGCATGCGAGGCAGGTAGTAATGGCGTGATCTTTGCAGATGTATGCATTGCATTTTTGGCACATTTTGGATGTTTTGAAATCACTTCGGCGAGGGCAGAATTTGCACCTACTCCTTTTGGGTAATGGGCGAGGAAGGGCTGGTCGGCATGAGGGAACTGGGAGAGGGGGAGCTGCTGCAGAGGTAGAGCTGGAGGAGACCTGCTGGATCTCCTTAACCAATTTGACAGCGGCTGACGTGCGGGGAATAACCTTGCGTCGCTTGATGTGAGGTATCACCAGTTGTCGCCCAAGCTCCTCCATGAAGAGCCTTCTCTTGTTGTACTTTCCCTGATTCCAGGCTGGCTTGATTTCAGACCATAGGACAAAAGAGTTGTATGCAGACACGTCGAGAATGTTGTAGAAGACAACGAGTGGCCAACGGGCTGTCATTCTTTTGCACGTGTACACACTGGTAACTTTGTCAAGGTTATCAACACCACCTTTGTTGTGATTGTAATCTTCAATGATTTTGGGCCTTTTGTCATCCCTGTTGCTCACAGCAGCATCCCGATGCAGAGTGCTCATCAGAAGAACATTTTTCTGTTTTTTGGGGTGATATGACACTAGAGCATGGGTCTCGGTGAAGGCAAACTTCGATGAGAACCGTGCCCGGTCCTTTTTTGACAACAGAGCAGGGGGAAGCTCAGGCTTATTCCTCCGTACTGTTCCCACCATGTACAGCTTTCTTTTCAGCAGCTGCAAGCCAAGAGCATGTGAAGTAAAAAAGTTGTCACAGGTGATTGTTTTCCCCCGGAGACCTTCTGTCATGTCAAGGACAACTCTCATGCCCTGATTTTTTTCTGACTGCGCACCAGCCGGTTTGCCAGTGTATACCTGCATGTTCCATGCATAGCTAGACCTGGCATCGCATGCTACCCATATTTTTATCCCATATTTCCCTGGTTTACTCGGGATGTACTGTTTGAATGGACAGCGACCTCTGAAGGGGACCAGGCGCTCATCCACAGTCACATCAGTACCTGGATCGTACATCAACGGCAGGAGAGACACCCACTTGTCCCATACATCTCGAATGGGAGCAAGTTTGTCTCGTGCACGGCAATTTTCTCTTGTGGCTTTATCATCAAATCTAATCACTCTTGAGATTTTATGAAACATCTTGAGTGTCATGGTAGCACGGAAAATTGTCCTACCAGACTCGGCATGCCATAAACTAGATGTAGCTTCCTTACTAGATCGGTACACGCCAGCAAGAATCAACACACCCACATATGCCTGCAAATCCATTTGATCCATCTTTCTCCACTTGTTGCCATAAACGCGTTGCCCCTCCTTGTTTGTCATGCTCAGCACTGCGTCTTCAATAGGCTTTGGCAGAAACAGGTCAAAAGTGGACTTTATGTCATCAATCCGAGACCTTGCATATGCAGTTGGACCATGGTGGCTTGTATCTCTCTC